CCCATAAGCGACGAAAACTGCCGTACATTTGTTTTTGCATCTATGATGACGTACGGGCCAAGCTCGACAGTACTAGAGCTGGCTACGCGACCTGAGGCTGAACTGATGTCAGCCTGTGTACCAAGTGGCAAGACCATTCGCATTGAACAAATGCGGCACAGCCTCGATCCAATTAAAGGCCTTGCATGGCGCCCCAAAGGCGGCCACAGCGAAATCAGGGTCAACTGGGCCAGCTTTAGCTTTTCAACACCCTTCCACTGAAGGTCTTCATTCTGAGGAATGGAGCCCGCTGATGGGGAGAAAGGGCCTTCTGTGATCGAGAAGGTGAGGCGCCAATCATCATGTCAATCTATAAAATGAAGGTTGCGAGCTGGTCTATGCAGCTACCAATGCTACCTGTGGTTGCTTGTGGCACAATGGAGACGTACACGACTCGTCGTTCAGGTTGCCTTTTCCAGCTAGAATGCTGTAACCTATGCCCACAGGTCTTGAAGGGATCTCGTCAACCGGCAGCTGGCTGTGCCGCTAACAATTAGAAGTGCAGCACATGTTTTAGCATCGGTTGTCGTCTCGTTGTTGTCAACGTATGGCGACAATAAGTTGGCAAAAACATATAATATGCATGATGGTGGGGCTTCAGCAGCGCCCTTCTGTGTAATAAGTAGCGCAGAACTGGGGTGCATCTGTACCTTAAGAGTAGGCACCCTTGCTGGTACGCTTCATGATCGAGGGTTTCTAAAGGATGCAACACGTTGGCTAAACTGCCCCCCATTCTCCGGCCTCAGAAATATGACCAACACCTCCCTCTACACAGAACGGTGTACCTAGCTCAGTAGTTTTCATCGACTTGTACAGCACACTCATTCCAGGTGACACTCCAGCTCCAAGTGAGCCTTAGTGAAAAGACAAGTTGAACAACGTGCTGACATCGAATTCGAACTTCCTCCTTTGTTCTTCCTCAACCCAAATTTTTATTTCCGTACCCCTCTCGGTGTGCTGTCTGCCTTCTCTCTTTTACAAACTTTTTTTGACCCTACTACATATCCAGACACATAGCACTCAGGGGGCCATCTTAGAAACTGTTGTAAGCTTCCCCAACCGCAACATCATTCCATTGCTGATAGTCGCTCAAAAATCTCACTCCACAGGCCCGTGCGGCGCGTAAGGCAAAGCTCGAGGAGCGGCTGGCTCTGGAAGCGGAGAGGAAGCGCAAGGCAGAGGAGCAGGAAGCGGCGCGCCCCGCCAAGAGGCAAGCACTCGATGGTGGAGGCAACGGAGTGCCGCAAGTTGAGGGGGGAGAATCAAACGGCGCAGCGGAATCGACCGAAGCGGCGGGCCACGCAGCCCCGCAGGGTTTTCCGGCTAGAAGCCTAGGGCCGATTCCTGAGGGTGAGGAATCCGATAATTCTGATGTTTTACAGTTCTCTGTGATCTTCAAACCCTTTGATGGTTCACCAATCTACCAGGGCTGTGTTCATTGGAGTGCCCTATGAATTCCATCTTGACGTGTTCCGGGAAAGCGATAGTACTCGGCCTGAAGCAGGCCAAGTTCTTCAGGCTGCCAGGGTCGGCGAATTTGGGTTTCGAAACATGAAACCTTACTTACTCTGATCATGTCAAAATATGAGGTATGGGCAACAGCGCTCCCAGGCAGCTTTGAGGTTTGTCTGTACATGCTCTCGTCGTGCTCTCCAGGCTTATCCTGCGTCTCCCACTGGGAATTATGTTTGTTACCCATGACAGAATGTCAAGATTGACAAGTGAAGGTGCCTTTGAAGCTGAGGCATCCCGAACGTGTTTAACATCACTAAGTATTTATCAGAAGGGGGGAAGAGTAGGACGAAGAGATGCAGACTTGCGTCTTCTGGCAGAAGGAGGGGAAGAACAGCTTAGTAAAAGACACTGGAAAGAGAACAAGGAACCAGCAAAGAAGGATGTTCCAGCATGAAGAGGTAAGATTCTTCATCGCTGATGGGGGTGCTGCCTTGTGCCCTGTAGGCTGGCTGCAGTGCCCCCCTTACGGGGAGCCGGTGGACGGGCTGATTCCTTGCAAGGTGCCGCTGGGGGAGCGCTTTGATCACCTGCTGGAGCTGCATCAGCGGCTGACGCCAAAACTGCTCACGGAGCGGCTGCGGCGCGCGGGAACGCCGGTGAGCGGGGGCAGAGCCCCTTGACATGGATCTTGATGTATGCTAAGAATCGTTTTTATGGATAGGAAAGGTCGGCCTACCGGGCGTAGGATTTCAACGGCTCTGAATTCAAACATTCCTGCGCTTCGCGTCTGATTCCACCGTAAATCCCAAAGTGAACCCACCCGTCCCCCGGGCTCGACGACATCATTCTCGTCGCGCATTATATCATACATTGGGGACTTTCTCCTTGAATCTCGAGACCTTGAATCCGTTTACTTCACGTTGTTTTTCCAACTTTCGTGATCAAAAACAGTTTCGAAGCGGGACTTTCCAATCTGTGTGCGTTTCCTTGTTGAGCTGAGAAAGTCAGGGTTCGTTCTGATTTGGACTTCCTCCAGTCGAACTTACAAGCGGCTTAAAGTGTGACCCTTGCTACAGTCAGGGGCTATTTCTTCTGACGTTAGATTTTTGCCCTTTGGCTATCAACGATGTTGGTAACCAGCAAGTCAGCTAATGGTTACTTGAGGCTCTTAAGGCGGAGTTTGTGACTCACAAGGTTGGATTTCGAAGTGCCCCCTTTTTGCTCTGCAGATCGGCCTGGTAATTGACCTGACTAACACCAACCGTTACTACAAGGAGAAAGAGTTCACCAGCCAAAACGTCAAGTACATAAAGGTGGGGCGACAAGAATTATCTTTGCCGCTTTGCTCGTGTAGAGCAGAAGAACTAGACTTCGCATGTCTCGATTGGACGCCCCTTCTTGGAATGAAAGTCGACATGGTAGACATGATGGGATAGATGTTCCAAACAAATGCGCATAGGTTTGATCTTCCGAATGCGGTTCTACAACGTCAAGCTTCTCAACCCGACTGAGGATCGGACGGCACCGTTGCATCAATGTATGATAAAGCTTTTAGATCAAAGCTGAGGTCCTCTCGGAATCGCTAACCTCGATGCTGGGCCTTGCGAACTGAAAACCAAGACTCGGACATGCCGAATCATGCGCGCTGGTCAGGGCGAACATATTCCAAAAAATCTATGGTTGAGCGGTAGCAACTTTTTTGGCGTTGACAGATTGGTCTACGGGGCCGGAACGAGGTCCCCGACGCGGAGTCGGTGAATCTGTTTTACTACGAGGTGATGCGGTACCGCCAGACCAAAGGCGCCAAGCACATCCTGGTGCACTGCACGCACGGCCACAACCGTACCGGTTACATGATTGCCACCTTCCTCGCGCGCACCACCGCACCCACCGTCGCAGAGGTAGGGTTTCAAGATCTCAGGGTCGTCGCCTGAGTTTACAGGGGCTTAGCGCTTTGCATTTTGGGTTTTGTGTGCTACATGATTGCCGCCTTCCTCGCGGGCACCACCGCGCCCTCCGTCGCAGAGGTAGGGTTTTACGAGACTACTTTTATAGGGGGCAGCTTTTGTAACTCGACCGGGGCATACTTCCATATCACGGAGTCTCTGTTTTTTGGTCTCTTGTTCGAGATAGTTGCTGCTGCGGTTTCTGCAATCAAGCTGTTCGTCCGCGAGGAAGTCAGTGGCTACAAAGGAGGCCCAATACGTCACAAAACTGACTGCTGTCAACCCGCCGGTTGGCGCGTTAACCATCGGTGTGCGGCAAGCGCGCCCTCTCGGCATCTTTGAGGACGAGTATCTCGCCAAGCTTACAATGCACGAAGAGCGCTAGCTTAAGTCTGGGGATTTAGCCTTAAGTTTCGTTTTCGAGATTTGACAAACTTACAATTGTCCAGCCTCAATAATGATTTGCGGGGGTGCGCACCCTTGGCACCTTCAACGACGAGTATCTCGCGGAGCTATTTGCGGTGCACCACGAGCGCGCCAACGCGTTGCAGTCTTAAATTTCCTAATGTACTAACCAGAAGAAACATACCGGTTTGCAGGCTAACCAGCGGTTTGCGGCGGCGCGCCCCCCCGGGCATCTACAAGGACGAGTATCCTCCCGAGCTGTTCCAAAAAACCCAGAAGCGCCAGCTCTTAAAACTTTGAATAAGTCTTCCTTTTTCACGAAACCGGCCAGGGGCCATATGCCGGTTTGTAGCCTAACAAGCGGTCCTACGCCCGTTTCTAGGCTAACCAGCGCTTTGCGGCGGCGCGGCCCCCGGGCATCTACAAGGAGGAGTATCTCGCGGAGCTGTTTGCGGTGCACCACGAGCGGCGGCCTCCGCACGCTGTGACGCCGTCCGTGCCAGACTGGAAGCGCCCCCTGCTGGACCTCAATGGGGACGCGCCCTCAGACTCGGAGGAGGAGATGGACGACGACGGGAAAAAGGGGGCCTGGGAGCCGGTGAATGTTCGGATCTCTGATATTTTATCGTTTTTCGTGCCTTCCTGTCTACCGATATTGAGGTATCTTGGAAAGCGGGGAGCGCTTACTTTTGACTTTACTCCAATGTGCTGCTCGGGCTTTCAGTTAACGGTGAATTGCTGAACAGATTGTACTTTGTTATGCACAATCCCTCGAGTCGCCTTTGCCCTTGTTTTTTAGTATACTAGAAATTTTACCACGGAACTCGACACATGGCGGAGAATCAAGTCAAAACCCCTCAATGGCTTACAGAAACGGATTTGCGGAAGGCACGTTCGTCAACCGGGTGGCCGTCTCAAGAGCCCCAAAATCGGGTCTGCTGAAAGTATACCAGTCGCTTACATCCGCTTACATTGAATGCTCCTGCGACGCAACCCTAACATCGTCCCTGTGCATGTACTCACTGTCCTCTGCCTAACATCGCACATTGGCCTCGCCTCCGCAGGCGCCCGAGCCGGCCCCCGCGCCTGCCGCGATGACGATCGATGACGTCATCGGCGATCCCGTCCCGCTGGACCAGCAGCAGGAGCTGCGTGCAATTGTGTACAGCGCGCTTGGGGAGCGGCCGGGGCGCAACGGCAACCTCAACTTCCCGGGCTCCCAGCCCGTGTCGCTCAGCAAGTGAGCCTCCATCGTTTTTACTTCTTTCGAAACATGAGCCATCTGGTTTTTCTCGATTTGTTTCCTGACTTGATAGGGCTATATAGTCGTTCGGCAAGTAAGAGTCCGTCTAGTTTAATCAAGGTGTTTTGAGTGTTCTCGATTTGTCTCGACCGAGACTCTAGGGCGTCCAGAAGTGCAGACGGATGTCAAAGCTCCGTCCGGCTTGACCCCGTGGGAAAAAGGCATATATTTTGCTCTTGCCCGGGGATTCCTGTTTGTGTTAAGCATTCCAGACAGATGTCAAACTTCCAGAAATTCCAACTGGGCCCCGCCCAGGGGCTTCCCGGGATTGGAAACCCCCAGACTCCCTCACCTATGCTTACCCCCTGCAGTGAGAACATGCGGCTACTTCGCGAGCGGTACTACTATGTGACGTGGAAGGCAGACGGCACGCGGTATATGATGCTCATCCTGCGAGAGGGCGCGTATCTAATCGACCGAAACTTCTCCTTCCGCCGCGCGCAAGTTCGCTTCCCTGCCGCTGTGAGCCCCGCTACATCTTTCTGTAACTCATCATCATTCATTTTCATTCTGCTTGTCCGTTCTTTCTTCTTCTTGCTTGATTCATTCGCATCAGTAGGGTGGCCTTATACCGATCGTGTTGGATTGAGGAGGCTTTTTCAAGCGCAACTGGCTGTCGAGTGCGTTGAGGGTCGGTACTGACGACATTAGAGCCGCCGTCAACGAGTCGGGGGTCGTGACCTCAGCTCTCCGAAACTGAGACACCAGGTTCACTCGTAATCAGTCTGACTTCACAGAAATTTTGATTTTACAGACAAGCCACCAAGAAGTCGACAGGAAAGGTCAGCTGTCAACGACTGATCCAAGTCACCCGCCCCAAATGTTGTGGAACCCTTGCAATTCAGCTCTTGCTAATAATCCAAGGAACACTTTTCAAAGGGCTGCGTCCTCGTGTTTCCATGACGTCGTCGTCTTCTCTTGCAACGATTCGTTTGTTGGCGGACGTTGGCCTTTTCGGGCAAGGGCAATCTCAGTGAACAGGTTTTGCGAAGTCATATCGTGACAGCCATCCACCGGGTCGGTTTCCTGCAAAGAACTTACTATTCTTGAAGCCCTCATTATTGCGTCCCGGGGTTCCAAAATCGCTGTCGCCCACAGTGTGTGCTGACGTCATCGATGTTTCGCACATCTTGTTGCTTCCGGCCCCTCCCGCTGCTGACATCACAACCACTCCTGCTGACGTCATCATCTCCCTTCCCCCGGCAGAACTTCGTGTTTCCGGAGCCCCCGGAGAGCCCCAGCGCTCCGCGCACGGCGCTGCAGCATGCGACGCTGCTGGACGGCGAGATGGTGGTGGATCACGTCCCGCCGTCCGCGCCCGGCGCGCCCGCCAAGCAGGAGCGGCGCTTCCTCGTCTATGACATCATGCTACTCAACGGGCAGGCACTCGCACAGGTATGGAGCGGTCGATGCTCGACCCCTTCCTGCGTCGAATTCATCCTGTTTTCTTTAGAGCAGTATCTTTGAATAGTTTTTCACTGAAGTTTGCTGGCTGTTGTATGCTTGGCAACTCTTTCCTGCCCCTCCTTAACCGACTTGAGCACTTCAACTGCGCAATGGTGGAGAATGTTGGATTTCGTGATGGTCATCAGCCGAACTTCTGCGTAGGTCACCCAAATTCGACTCTTTGAAGCTAGTGGCGCACGTGTGCTCCAAAGCGAACCCCGGCGTTCTTGTTCTTGTCTCGAGAACAATCCTCTTCGGAAACACGGAAACACGGTCTTAGAGACACTGTGCGACGAAGCGAGATAATACTGGTAGAAGCGATCGCAGGGCACGAAAGCCATGCTCCCTTCCTTGTCTTGTTAACAGACCTGCCTTCTGCTTCTTTTTCGCAGCTCCCCTTCTCCCAACGCTTCCCGCTCATCCTGTCGGAGGTGATCGCCCCTCGCAAGAAGGACGAGGCGCTCAACCGCAAGTACGACTATACCGTAGAGCCCTTCCGGGTGAGGTGTCAGATTTGCATAACATGGTTCACGGATCTTGGGACAGATACTGCGGTTTACCGCTCAGGGATTTTGTTGATGTGGCGACTCGTGTTTCCGGGTATTTATTTTCCCCCTGTTCATACGATGGTATCGTTCGGTTTGGTTCCGATAGAACTACAGCCGCGTTGTGTTCAAAGTCTGAGTAGGAAGACACACCAGCCGATCGACAGCAACAAAGTAGTCCTTATCAGGACCAACTTTCTGAACGCATTTCTAGCATGCAGCTGCGTCATATTCTTTGTTTTCATCCAATCCACTGAAGTGTGCAGCAGTACTTGCAAGCCCGCCTTTTTATTTTTTTTGTTAAGGACGACTGCGTGTGCATGTCCCAGATAGGGCAGATTGCGTGAACGGCCAACTCTTGGCAGCGCTTTGCAAACGATCGACTGGCGGCCCTCAAGACAAGAAACAATACCTTCACCAGCTTGGGGGACCATTAGGTTGAGTTTCGTTCTGTCGAACGCTTCCCAGACTTTATTGTCTGTACCCCAGGTCCGAGGGGACGTTCAACTGGCGGCCCTTGAGCGAGTACTTCAAGAAAACAACAACATGCCGCTGTTCCGCATCCATTTTAAAGGGCCCTATGCCAGACTATTTCTCGTCGAATGCTACTCTGACTTCCCCCTTTGTCCCCAGGTTCGACGGAAGGACTTTTACGAGCTGCAGGCGACGCCCAAGCTGCTGAAGCAGACGGTGCCCAAGCTGAGCCACGAGGCGGACGGCCTCATCTTCCAGGTAAGCCGGAGACCGCTGGCGCTGACGTCATTTGACGTCAGCTCGCTCGCTTCGCCAACACATGCAGGCAGTGGGTTTCCCTGGAGCCCTCCCGCCTGCGGGCGTTGAATTTGATTCGCAATTCCGGTGGGGGGAATAAGGTGAAACGGCGGCTTTTTGAGAGGGTCTTAGGAGGTTCGCGATATTGGCCTTTCACGGTTCTGATAGGCTTGAATATTTCGGGTTTCAGGTTCTTCGTCTCAGCCCCTCCCGAAAGACAGGCTTTGTGAGCGACGTTGCTGGTCTTTTACCAGTGCGCCCAGGCATCCTTGGCGGGACCCCATCATTGTCAAGAGGTACTATGAAAAGTGCGGGCCATTCAAGCGAGCCGGCCCACTGGAGGAGTCGGAAAAAATGGGATCGGTAGAGACCGAGTCTGCAAGTTTGCGAAGTAAAGAACGCAGGGGGCCATAAGGGTTGGAAACTCCTCAACACCTGGCAAAAGGCACAAACCGACCTCGCTCCTGCGCAGGGCTGGGACGACAAGTACGTGACGCGGACGTTTGAGGGGCTGCTCAAGTGGAAGTACGCGCACATGAACTCCGTCGACTTCCTTTTCAAGGTATGCGCCTCAGAAATCTTGCCGGCTTTCGCCATCTTGAGCTTGCCGATCTCGCTGTCAGTCGACGACAACCCTAAATGCAAAGTTGTATAATCCTTCCAAGATCTCGGAGTGCAATGAAAACGACGACCCAAATCCGCCAAGAATACGTTCTACTTTCGACGGATGTATAAAGGCACAAGTAGACCGGCCAATTCCTCTGCTGATGTCATGGCTTGTCCTCCGCGTTTCTTCAGAGCTTTCAGCGAGTTGCTGACGGACCCATCTCTCTGCCGATGTCACCAGGTGGAGCCCGACGGGAAGCAGCACCTGTACCTGACGGAGGGCAAGGAGCGGCTGCGGGAGCTGGAGGGGGCGACCGTTCACTTCGCAGGCGAGCCACCCTGGTCGCCGCCGTTCAGTTTCTCTTCCTTCCCCGTACTTGGTCGTCTGGTCCGCAGCCTGCCGCTGCCGCTGCTGCCTCTCCATTCGTTCTCTCGGTTCGTACTTGGCAAGAACTGATGTGCGGAAATTGGACAATCCGGTATGTTTGGTTTGGTACTCGGTGCCTGCAGTGTTTGGCTGAAGTTTGTTCTGAGTCAAGATGTCAATGCCTGGGCAGGTTGCAAAGGTTTGGTAAAAGTTTGAGAAGCTGAGCTTTCCACGAAGAGCTGTCTCGGTCGTTCGGCTAAGTGCAATTCTTCGTTTAAGACCTTTCCTCACACTCTGTCTAAGGATTCGTGCTTCAATCAGATGATGATACACGGATCTAGCTTCAATTTGGCACATTTTGCCCCGTGGGTGGGTTCTCTAACCTGCCAAATTTTCCTGTCTGTTTGTCGATTACCGTGATTGTCACATCCTATGCCCCCGCCCCTGCAGACGGTGAGGACCCCGCCAGCTTCCACGACAAAATCATCGAGTGCGCCCGGGGCACCGAACCGGGCAGTTGGTCCTACATGCGGGTGCGCACCGACAAGAGCCACCCAAACGCGTACGCCGTTTACCTCAAGGTTTTGAACAGCATACGAGACAACATCACTGAGGAAAAGATCCTCCAGACAATCGACGAGATCACCAGGATGCCGAGTTACACCTCGCGGCAGACACCGCGGCCGGGGGGGCCTCCCCCGACCAGGCCCGGGGCCCCTGGCGGGAGTCACCGGGCGCCTATTGGGCACGTGAACCGGTCAGTACCGAACGGACCGAGCGGGCATGTTAGCCGACCGGTTCAAAACGGACCAAGTGGGCATGGTAACCGACCGGTACAAAATGGACCGAGTGGGCATCCTCGGATGGTTCAACCGGCACCTTTTGCGGGCGACACAGATAGTCCGTCTGACCGACCGCCGGTGCCGCTAGTGTCGGGGTCGGTTCCTAGCGGAGGAGCAACTGCTCATAATCAGGAAGAAAGTAAAGCATCGAGCGCGCACGGTGACGCTCATCAGTCAGATCCTGTTAATTCACTTGAAACAACACAGAAAAAGGGGAGGGAAAGTGACATTAGTGGGGCCGAGCGAGTTAGCGAAGCGGCTTTGCAACCGGCCCACGAAGATCCAGATAGAAATGGGGACATGCGGGCGCTTGAGGACAACGGAAGGACTGGACAAGAGGACTAGGATTCGTGGATGTTGCGTTCAAGCATGGTTGACTCCCTGTCCGACATGTTTGGGACAGAACTTTCGCGCTTTGAATCAGGTTGGGTTATTGGATGTTCACAGAGATCTGCTTAAGGAATGTGTCGGGTTCATTGACCCGGTGGGCCTGTTCGACGTTGTTGCGTGGACTGAGTCATCGATCGTTTTACATATGTTGCAATAGGTTGCGTGCGCGCAAATAACCTTTCTTTTTGCTTACGCTTGATTAATGATAATGTGAAGTATATTAGCCTGGCATGTTCACACATGGGATGATTGCCGTGCAGCCGGGCTGACAAAATTAGGTCGATCTGGCCACGCCGTAATTCGCGATTACCCCTAGCAAGGCCGGGCAGCAACATATATCTATCAAATGGACGTCGATTGATTGACGTTGCAGCATACTGCATGCCATTGCAACTTTGTCCTCTTGTGCACCGACGACCCTCCAGGTTCCTCAGTTGACCTCGCCATCATCTGAAAATCTGACTAAACGGACGTCTCAAGCGTTCGGCGTATACGAGGTAGGCCGCAATCGTGTTGTGGCGCTAAGATTTGAGAGGATTGTGTTCAGCATGGCCCAAGAGATGTCGTACAACGGCTGTTCGATCCGAAAGTAAAGGGCGCCGTCATTTCTGAAGTGTGTCACTTTGAGACATGTTGGTCAGGTTTGCGAGCTCTGTCCATTCTGTTCCGAGGGTTCAGGGATCCAGCAAGACACCGTATCATAGAGAGCCGCGTTGCAATTCGACAACGGAATGGGCTTCGGATTCCTTCTCGTTTGACCTATCGCCCTGCAATGTCCTATTCGATTCTAAGCATGAAGCATTGACACCATTCGCCACTGGATGCCCTGTTCTAGTTTTGTCCTCCTCTTGCCGCTTGTCCGTAATAATCTTCACGATTATGGAAGCCCAAATCAGCACAAACTCCAGGCAAGCCGGTCCCAATATGGGCCAAAGTTTGTTTCTTATCAAATAAATCCCATAGACAGACAAGGCCAACACGTACGCCATCAGCCTGCACGCAAATAGGAACGGGGCTTACAGGCTGCGACCAGAAGAGGACAGGTATCTCTGGTTGTGGTTGAGAACCACAAGGTCCACAACCAACAACATACAATATACAATATAAAACAAGACTTCTGTTGAAGAACATTCGATAGAGCTTCAATTTGAAAAATGAGGTCTTGCAATAGCCTATTGTCCAGTTCTGCGAAGCTAGTATTCGCAGCGGCTTAAAGAGGCCATACGGATCGCAAGCATCATGTTGGACAACGGCAACCTTACAGCAGGTACTCAACAAGATCCTCGTTCGTTTATCAAGACTGTAGGATGCAACAAAGTTCACATGTGGAAGCGTTGTTGGCATAAGGACTAAATGTCTTCCTTACAAACTAGACAATCACCCAACCAGGATCATGAAATAGGGCAGCAAAAGCTGCAAAGCAAAGTGGCAGGATGATTTTGCAAGAAATGCCTGCTGAGTACATAAACGAGGTGAGGCCACGACCTCTTGCAAACGGCTGCTCACCAAGGCATGCTGATGTCTCGTGAGGACATTGTTTTGACCTGCTTATATAGCTGCAGGGAACGACAAAGGTGCGCCTCAGTCGCGGTTCCGGAAGTACGGGACAACCCATGGCTGACGCCAAGGGTTCGGAAGTTCCCTAGCCTTGTAAAACCGCTTGCAAACAACATCAACCCCGACAAATAACATCATTCCTGAAAAGCTGCATTTCAGGGAGAAACCAGGCAAGACACAGGCAAGCTGCCGTGATCCCTGAAGAACACAAGCCAGCATCAGGGGCTCTTGCGCACTTGTCAAGATACATAAAACCTACAGCTGGACCAGAAAGGATGACTAAACAAAGCATCCAAAGTGCGTTCTCCGCCGAATTCCCTGCACTGACCCAATAAGTAAGAACCTGATCACTGCACTGGTCCCCAAGTGCCTCTAGGATTGGCCAACGACAATTGACAAGCTGGTTATACTGTTCTACTTTGAAAAAGTTCAGCCCGCTCGGCAGCTGCTTACTGCCAAATCAAAAGGTGCAGTCAAAGTTCATAAAAGAGTCAGACTCCTCTTCTTGCAGATTGTTAGCAGCTTGACTTCGTGACAGAAGAGCGCCATATCATGCTTTGTGGCCTAGTCAGGAAACCGTCCCGTTTGGCGCACCGCATGTGCAGACAATAGTCAAATTCGCTGTCAGTTCTTTACCTACAGAAGTCATACATAGTATGTTCTTTTCTTTGATCTGAGAAAGATGACATTTGTCTGGGACACCACTTCCACTGCAAATTGTCCGTTACTCCCTGCTGTACGTTGCACTGAACTTTTCAGAGTTGTTGATATGTAATTCAAGCTTCCGGTATGCTTTTGAGGATCTTTCACAGACCAATGCAGGTATGATAAAACCAAATCAAAACAAGGGGGGCACTTTCTTACCTGAGGAATGAAGCCCACCGCAAACAGTAATCTGCATGCCATCAAGTAGAGCAAGTCAGGAAGGCACCTAGACCTCGGCGCCACCAGATACCAATCTGCAGAATTTGACTAGGTGCGTAGACAGAGCCAAATCACAATTCAAGAAGAATGCGATTCATGATTGGAAGTTTGGGCGTGCATAGTTCTTGCCTGTCGCAAGAAACAAAACAACGATACTTTTATTCTTGTAATCCAATGAGAACAGTGGTAAGTTTTGCTGACAGCACAAAAACATGGTTCAACCTTACAGTGACGCCTACAGCATCCTTCTTGAGCAACTTACCCCCCAATGAACCCCAGATAATCATACACATTCTCGAAGGTCGCAGTTTCTGTTGCCATGGTGTCAAGAAGAAAGGTTCCCTGCGCCCCAAGCAATACTAGCAGGACAACACCAACTTGGTTGCATGCGAACAAGCAAAGATGCTATAATGTCACATAAGCGGAAGCGAGTCTTTCGAGCAACACACGACCGCAACGTGGTTGTGGCCTATTTAGGCATCACAAAGCTTCAGCGTTTTATTGTGCCCCTATCTTTTTTCTTAGGAGTTGCTATAGGCTGCACTTCGCGGAGAAGAACCTCGTGCCACCTCGTGCAGAGGCGCCCAGCAGCCAGGTGACCCTCTCCTTTTCCGTCCCTTCTAGTCGACCCTGGCCCTGGGCCTGAGCTGCCTTTCCAAGTGCAAGTTCAATTTCAAGTTCAAGACTAGAGTCTAGAGCCTGAATGTTGAATCCTGCATGATTCTCTGCACGAGGGTCACCCGCTCAAGTTGTGAGCTGGTGAAAACGTGTACCAATATGTATTCGAAAGTAAACAGTCCAAGATAAGCAAACCCCAGTCATAGTCTTGGAGAGTTGTCCTATAATCCAGACCGTCTTACGTGGCTAGCTGGTAAAACAGGATAGTCCTAACTTCTGAGTTTGCGACGCCGAGATCCGAAACAGGGTCTTTTGGGGTGCACACGGGTGACGACATGCATCCACATGCATCACAGGAACCACGAGGGCTGCTCGGAGGTTTTGCGCCCGCGTCCGGCCGGCCGCGCCGTCGCGACTTAAGACACGCGCGGTGCGGCCCCACGACCGTTAGATTCAGAATGAGCAGCACGCTCTAGCTTCTGCGCTGAAAAGGCTCGGCCAAAGTGAGATAGAACTTCTGGACGAATTCACTTTTTGAGCTGCCAGAAAAGTGGCATGGCTTCCATTCTAAACTTGGCAGAGGACTTGCAGATGGACATCCTGAAAAGGGCTTTGGATTTGGGAGGAGCTAGTTGGGTCAATGGTGCACAGCTGACCTGGCTGAGATGCAGGTAAGTAACAGTAGAGCAATCACAGGTGCAAGGACGTTAAGTTCGGGCTCCGGCAGAAGACTTTGACAGTGGCGCTTTCAGATCGTCTGGATGGTGCTGACTATTCCTAGCTCTCTCCCTTTGATTGCTGACTGTACAAACACGCAATATACTAGGACCTTCGGACCTGGTCAGTCGTGTAGTTGCATTTTCTTTTTGTTCCAAAATTCAGAAACTCTTCAACTCTTCCATGGAGTACCATCTCCTGACCGTCAGATCCTGGCAACCTACCATCAACAAAAGACTCAGCAGGACGACGCGGGTACAAACTGAAGCACTAAGGCTGCAGGTCCATTCGGCCCTCCCTGACCCGACTGGTCTTTTCCAGGGTCGTTTCTGGTTCTCCCCAAGGTCCATCTCTTGGCCTTCAGGTTACAAAGAAGTCAGGATTGTCGTTGATGCTGTACTATGGCTTGTCTTTGCAGCCTTGCTTGCAAGTCCTGGCAGGATTTGATATGGAACCGGCTGGAGTGGCCTCATCTCGACATACATCTCGTCCATGCGGACCACCAGACAGCACGGCAGAAGATTTCTAGTGAACACTTCCTCCGCTTCTTTGAACGCCATTGGAGTGGTCTCCAGAGCCTTCGGATTCACGGCGCGCCCCCACCACAGAGCAACTCACCAGCGTTCACCGCCAACCAGCTCACCGAGCTTTTGCCACGTGCTTCTGTGTTGAGGAAACTTGAAGTTCCTAAGATCGAAGTGAGATGTTACACTCAAAGCTTGAGTGAGCGCTTAGTCTGCTGCCGGATTGCTTCTTTTTGTGCTGAAAAAAGACTCAACTTGACAAAGCTGCGATGCCAACCTGGAACTTTGAAAAGAGCTTGATCAGGCTTTTTGATTCCTTCAGACGCATATATGTGCAGCCGTTATATAATCGATTGGATCAGAGCTCGTCTTTCGTCACCTCTTCCTATACGTTTCACTACCAAAAGTATTTCCCCCAAATTGCAGAGCTCTTTCCCAGAGGATGCCCAAGCTCCCATCCAACAGTGGCTGGCACGTGCCAGTCACCTTCGGGACGTCTCCTTTTCGGGGGATTGGTACTTCGATTTCGAAGAATGCGTGAAGCATCTGCCTCTCTCTTTAGAAAGGGCCTTGCTGAAGCGACCATACTCTATGCCTGGCAACCTCAGCCGTCTGGCATCCATCACGAACTTAAAGGTAAAGGCAAGGAAAAATTAAACATAGATGTTCGAGGTTGGAAATTTCGTCGACCATATTCCAAAAGTCTAGGACTTGCGACTGAGCGTTTGATTATGCCTCACCAGAAGTGCTGCGAGTACGACGGGCTTCACAAAGTGAAGAATTTTGGACTGAACATGTTTTTGGAATCAATGAAGGAAGACAAAAACAGCCATTGGACGGCTCACATAACAAGATTTCAGCATGTTGTCTGCGGCTTTTGTGATGCTTTAAGTTCGAAGCAGGGCAACTTCGGGTCCTAAGCGAATTAATTGCAGAGCTAAGATCGCGTTTGGAGGTCCCGTGCAACACTAGCTAGTACGCCTGAAGTGTTCCTTCCAATTCTTCGCAGGTTTTGCATCTGCACTTTGGCAGTCGTTGCACCTCGGAAACCCTGGAACCAATCTCCCTCCTTGAGAACCTGGAGGAGCTGCATATCCGGAGAGCTGGGCTGGAGCGAGTGCCTCCATGGATCTCAAAATTCTCCAAACTCCAAGTATAAATCTCTTACAAAAAGCTTGCTCATCATTGCATCATGCCCTCCGAACTCGTGTGAAGCCTATGTCTTGTTGTGACAACGAGTTGCTTCGCCAACAGCGTTTTAATGCTCAAGCCAAATCCTGCTAATTTTCTTGTGTCTCTTGCAAAACAAGAAGGGTCGCGAATCCAGTTGGTTCGTCCAGCAAGCAAGTTCTTCCGAACCTTGCCAAGAACATCTCGGCACTTGATTGAGGGGCCCCAGCAAGACCTCACGTCTCGTGTTCCATAAGCACAGGACCATCCTCGTCAGGCTTTTGAAAACTCGATCGCACTATTGCAGGAAGTTCACTTGGGCAGGTTCGGGCAAGAGGATAAGGCGTCACCATCGTTCATCGACCTCGCGCTCATTTCTCAAGTCGAAACGATCGAGGGACTTGACTTCATTGGGGCTTCGCTTCCCTATGAGCTATTCACCTTAAGTAACCTTCAATCGTTGAGTTTCTATAATGAAATACCGATCGTTGATCTCGGTATCTTTGAGCTCTGTGGGCCGAGACTCGAAGCCCTCACGGTCTTTTCAGGGAAGGACTTCGAGTATGAATCCTATACAAGACTGGAAGGCTTAGCCAAGCTCAAAGGTTTGAGAAACTTCCGATTCGATACTGATGCAAGATATGAGGAGGTTGAAATCATCATAGACGAGGGTCTGCTCAATATCGAGACGGTTGATATCAGTTGTACGGGTCGCATCTTCTTTCAGGGAGAGAAGGAAAGCTTTGAACAACTTTGGATCGGAATGAAGCACTTTGCAGTACAGTACCTGGACTATGGTAAAGCAAACGGCGACGAAATGCGGTCTGGACTTAGAAGCATGGCTGCGGCGGCGAGATGGCGCGGCGTTGTTTTGACTAAAACTAGAGAGGAAGCGACCGCCCTCACTCGTCATAAGACCTTGGGGAAAGGTACGCGGGTTCGTATAGAGTACACATCTCAACATTCTCATACGGTCTTGTAGTTTAAGGAAGCTAATCTTGACAGCCCCGTTTCGCGCAACTGCGTTCTCCGGCCTGAATATATCTTGACTTGGAAAGGCTGCCTAAGATGGTTCTCATTCAAATTTGAATAGACAAATTCAAACGTGATTGTTGTGCAATGACGGATACTGGCGTAAACGTGCGGTTATTTTGTATCATCGCTGATTTTGGCCGTACGTTGCTTTGAAGCAGAAGGTTGTAGTTAAGTCACTGCGGAATAAAGAAAGAACTCTCGACCTCAAAGAAGTCGAAACACTCGTTACTCACTCAGCCACGTAGTTACCCTAAAGAGACCCACCACTTCCATGGGTTCTGTCATCGATTCCGGAAAGCGCGATTGCTGATATTCAATGCGTCATGCGGCGTGATGGAAAGAGAGAAAGAGTGCCTGCTTGTGTCCGCGACTAAGCAGCTAAGTAGGCATGTCTTAGACGGCAAAAAAAGTCTGTTTGCGCGGCCGAATCATGCTATGAGTGAGCAGATGAAATGAGAAACCTCTCTCTTATTACGCCCCCTTCACTGTTCCAACCTCGAGTTTCAAACTATACGCACTTACATATGCACGAGCGCCGCAGCTTCAATCGTATAACTTTGCAGATCAAGGAACGCGTTTGTACGTTTTATCTGGTAAGCATCTAGTTTAGCCGCTTTAACACAATCAATGAGATGCAGTGTGGCAGTAAGTGACGAACGGCTACATTGCTGGGAGGGGAAGGATGCCCTCACCATTGAACAAGCAGAGCGGATGCGATATGTAACTACTAGCCTTCAGGAAAAAACAGAGATTCGGTTCGAATGAACAAGCAGCAAAGTCAGGCTTCATTTTCAGGTTCTTTCAGATTATCTACAGTCGGTGTCACTACTAACGGCATGTGAGCACATCAATGCAATCTGTCTAAAAGTTGCGAACATGGGCTCCTCTTCCTTTGGAAGACTCGATTGCCAGAGGATATATCAACGGGTGTTTCTATAGAATGCGCGCGCACAGGAGAGTCTTGGCTCGCGGCCCCGCGGCCGCGTAGCCGCGCGGCCAACTCCAGGGAACGGTGTCAAGCAAAGCGCCCTGTGCGCGCGCATGCACCCCATAAGGCATGGTGTCAACTCGTAGAAGCGTTAAGACGAGAACTGTAATTGCAATTCTTTCGACACCTGCTCAGTACCTATGGCGTCAAAGTACTTTTATTTTCTTCTAGTGTTGACCACCGGTCCGGCAAGCATGCAATATCGTCTCGTAATAGAACACGATTTGACGCGGGCGACAGAGTCTGCACCATCGAGATGCTTGCAAACAGGTTGGAGCCGACTCGGAGTCTTGTGTACATCAAGACTAGGAGACTGGGAATTCAGAAGCGCACCTGCATGCAGCGGCAAAGATCTGATCAAAGCCGTGGATCGAAGTGGCAGGTCCCCAATCTTCCCGCTTGCCAGAAGAAATTTTCTGCACAACTCGAAGAGTGCTCAATCGTCTCGTCCGCTCAAGCAGCTGGAGTCAAAAAATGGACGGAGGCGCTACCACCGTTTTGCGCATAGCTCGACCAGCCCTTTACTTGTCAGTCAAAGAGAGCTACGAAAGCCCAAGACTGCCGTCATTCTCTCCCGTCCCTTACAAGAGCCGCCTCCGGCCGATGACCGCCCGTCTCGCCGCCTTCTGCCCTCTGCGCCTCAGAATCGCCCCGCGGCCTGCACGCTACTACACCAGCGCGCGCGCGCACACAGGATCTAGCATGGCGGGCTCCCAGGAGCACGACATCGAGGCGGAGATCGAGCGGATCAAGAACCTGCCGGAAGAGGAGAAGCGGAAGCTGGACGAGCGCGCGCGCAACGGGGAGACCGTGGTGCCCGGGGGGACGGGCGGGAAGTCGCTCGAGGCGCAGCTGCACCTCGCGGAAGGTCAGAAGCTCGGGGTTTGACATGAACCGCGGGAATTTGTAGCTGGTTCGAGCTGGGTTTGTCTTTTTGCGCGAGATCAATTTACAGTTGCTTCGAGCCAAATGTGTGAAGACGAGATAGCCTCTCGCGAAGTTTTCTCCTAGTGGGCTTCTCAAATTTGGGGCGCAGAATTGTGGGGGTAAGAATGTGAGGATGGGTTTAAAGGACAGCAGTTCCCGGCTCCTCAACTAACGAATAAAATTTCGCATTATCTTATTCTTCGTGCATGCCCAATCCCCTCACTTTGGTGGACTCACAATGGCCTCCTGTTTTGTGCTGAATCAAGGGGGTTTTAATTACTTTGAAGGGGGATCGGAGTTGCCCATTGAGAGTTTTCGGGGCAAAAATGTGACTCATGTTATCCTGCTCACCATGTTCAGCCAGTGCTAATTGGTTTAGCTGCCTTAAAATCAATAAGACAGTCTGGTGGTCCAGGCAAAGGTCCCTGCCTGAGTTTATTGAGAAGGGATAGTATTTCGTGATCGGCTGACAACCAAGTACAGACAACCGACTCAAGGAATTTCCGTATTTGAAGGTTCGTTCGTTCCTGTCATCAGAGTTGGCGCGTAAACTCTTTTTCTGACAGGTATCCAAATGAGAAGGTACACAAAGGTACTCTTTCGTCAGGAGCCCATTTCGTGGCTCTCTAAGTCCTGATTCCCGATTCATGTTGGTGGCACTTGAAGTGGGGTTGGGCCCCGTATCTGACGCATGTAAGGAGCCGCTTGCGCTTGGAAAGCTTGATTTGATGATGAAAGGATTGATGTACTGGGCGTTCCTTGCGAAGGAACCGCCTAAGGTAGCATTCTCAGTCGAAAGGATGCACGAAGCATTCAAAAATATACGGCCATTAAATCGCCTCCACCGATCGACTCCAAAAATCCACTTTCCGGCTCGTTTTGGCGCCCAGATTTCGGGAACTTTTCCCCGGATATGCTGCAGGTACGCGCTATAGAGGAAGCAACTAGTGAATAGATTATAGGCTGACAGCCTTCTTGCATCCGTCAAGCTTTGTGCCCAAAGCATCACCCTCGCACAAGCCCTTTTGCTCCGCATCCTTCTGACGAAGACCACTCGCCACGTGTCTTCTTTTCAGGCCGCCACAAGGGCGGCCTGCACCGCCGCCACGACTACACGGGAGAGGAGCAGAAGCAGGAGCACGGGACGCTGAACGCGCAGGAGCGCGAGCGCGAGCGCGGGCACGCGCGCGACGTCGAGGCGGAGATCGAGCGCATCAAGAACCTGCCCGAGGAGGAGAAGCGCAAGCTGGACGAGCGCGCGCGCGCTGGAGAGACGGTGGTGCCCGGGGGGACGGGCGGGAAGTCGCTCGAGGCGCAGATCCACCTTGCAGAAGGTGGGTAGGCGTTTGATTTTATCCGGAGATTCTGCCGCATCAAACGTATGCTTCTATTGAATGAGCACTGAGAAGCGCCGGCGAACTTTAACTGATGAAGGGACATCCGACTGTCTTAAATGCATCATTTGTGTGCGCGGGGTGCTGAGGGGTGCTTGAAACCTCAGAAGCTTCGACCGTCTTCACATGTTACTAAGCGTTTTGGATCAACGGGGACGGAATCAGACACTTTTGCCTTTGTGGGCGACCGAGATCTGATCGTTCCAGATGACGGACCTTTCAAGCATTCCTGGACCTTGAAAGTTCTCATCCGAGCTGAATTCGATGTAAACGTTCTCATGAGATCACGAAGAAGGGTCTCGTAGACTTTCTTCAAGCACGTTTGGTCTTTGCAGCAAGATTTTATCTTCCTTTCCTTTACTTCGACATCTTCTGGTTATACGTTACGATATGCTACTTGAAAGTGAATTTATATTTTCCCCAACCCCGCTCTGTTTCATACGGGCTTGCCGATCTTAGGTGACCGCGCTTTGTCTCGCAGGGAAAGAGGAACGAGTTCGAATGGTGATGTCCGTGCTCTCCTCAAGTTACGTTGCTCTCGCAGACTAGAAGGCGTCCGCTCGTTGATGTGTGCTCTCACTGTTTCTTCATACTTCTCGACAATCGCTTGCCCTTTCCGGAGGGCCGGCGAGGTAGTGCCCGTGAAATTGCCCGGAAAGCTCTCCCGTAAATGTTCCCACATCTGTATTGGGAAGGTAGGTATCATCCACATCTGCCCCTCCTTTTCTGAACCGCTTGTAACGATCTCAACCTCAAAACGTGTCCTTTTTCCAGGCCGCCACAAGGGGGGCATGCACAGAGGGCACGGTTACGCGGCCGCATGAGGGCACCAATGAGACGAAACACCAGAAGACCGGACGATATCACCTAGTGCCAGTGTAAAGAATCATTGCTTTGCAGCTTGAACGGAGCGGGAGTGCTTGAAGGAGGTACAGGGCTATGAGGGATATGTGTTCCCTCACAAGAAGGATATGTGTGTTCGAAGACAGTGCGGCCGTGCTGTAAAGAATGTCGACGTTTGTACCTGAGTAGTCCTTGTACTCGACATCAGTAAGGGAATGAACGTCCCTGACTTGTACAGCGAGCTAGAGCACCATGTCAGAAAAACTCGTCCAGTTGAGGACGTGCCCTGCTGTCACTGTGGCTAATGCGTGTCGATTGCCGCCATCGTCTGCTTCCGGCGTTTCATGAATGTTTTTAGCAACAAGGTCACAGGTATGCGCGCGTATCCCAATGGAATCAATATGAAACATTGTTGTGCATACGAGATGCATGTACATTGAGCTGCCCACGTGGGCAGCCTCAATGTTTACGGCGTAGACGTCGACTCATTGACTAGCTGACGTAGTCACGGTAAGATCGTTATCGTTCTTGCGAAAGTCACTGCACTTTCTTTAAGAAACCAGTCGAGATATGTTAGCGCGGCTAGCTACGTATCAAGTTGTGTGCATGAATATAGCACGAGCTTAGTTGTGGCATGTCGAGAAGCCTCGGAAGTGAAGCAGCTTCCACCTTTGCGATCAATCAGCATGCTGCAATATACATGGCATGAAGCAGCATACCAATGAATGCTTGCCGGTCATAGTTGAATGATGTCGTTTGGTACGGTTATCTGGCACGCAATCAACTGAATTTCGTCCGCCAACTTAGGGTCTTGTAGCTAAAGCATCAACGCGGGCCATGCCTGCCACCAATCGTGCGCTTTCGATATAACAACGTGAATAATACCGTCGGACAGGGACATGAGAACTGGGTTTGCGCTCGGCGGCATGTAACATGTGCCTGAAATAAGGTCAATCTTCCTCCAGATTTATCGAGTCTCTTCCGAACTTGCCGTAAAGAGTGTCTTTTAGCTCGCCCATCTTCCTCGTGATTTCGCTGCTTTCGTTTTCTAATTTCTTCAGCTCCGCTTCTTCCGTCTCTGTCTCTTTCAAAAGGACAGGCTCAACGTCATCTTTTTCCGTGTGGAAGAAGACGTCCCCTACTTTGACCCGGATTGATTCGTCATCATCCGCAAGCATGACCTCATTGCTCGCATCTTCTAGATTCTCAAGGAGGGCCTGTAGAGAAGAGTACTTGAAAATCTGTTAGCTGGCGTTGTGCAGTAAACTACCTTTTCAAACCTACTTGTCGTTCTAAACAGATCGCAGATGGACAACTCAATTGCAAGGACTGACTCACGACTCGACAATCTTTTTCCGAGTCCATCAACAAAGAGCGTTCAAACGTACTGTTGCAGCCTCTGGACTGACTACACCATGGTGAACGAGCAGCTCGACTGGAGCCTTCCTCATCCAAGCACTATAGATGTATATTGCGGTGCTGCTCCTAAGTTACAAATTGAGCTTTACACGTTCTGATAGCAGCGTGTACTTTGTGCAAACCCCAAAACGACAGATCAAGCCGCCCAACGACTTTGCAAGATGGGCCGAGAAAATTGAGGGACCGGTCAACAGACAACTACAAAAGGAATGTGTTCAATAGCAGCTGATCCCAAAACAACCGATACTTTGCTCTTCGAGGACCATTTTTGAGAGAACTTGATGATCCAGAGACACTGCATTCAGCTAAGATCGAGTCACAGCTGCAATTGCAGCGCTGCTCTAGCAAAACAAAGCGATTGTCGTGTGCAACCAACCAAGCACTTGGAAGCATCAACCGGGCATAAACAACTTGAAGCAGGAGTCACACTTGTCATGTAACAGCTGCGATCTGCCTTGCCCATTGATCCCAATTCTGGCGAAGGAGTTTATCGGCCTCGGAAAGTTAGGCAGTTGCGTACGCTTACCTTTTTGGCTTTGACGTCGTCCTCCAGCTCGTGGAGTCTGTTGTTCAGCCTGTTGAACGTGTTGATGTTCTGCTGGTCCTCCCAGGTCACCTGTTGTTCTGTGCCCTCCCCCTGAGAAGACGGAATTCATGAGACGGTCAAGCATAAGAACGCCCCAGCTGAATGCCTTGTAAGTTACACTCAATGCAGTGGTAGTCTACTGCCGGATTCCTGCAGCTGAGATTTGGTGGCGCTATCTTTGAGCACTGTTCCAATCAGTTTCTGGTTGCAGTTCCGGACTCCAAACTGGCCTTGCTGTTGCAAAATGGGCAATCCCTGCAACGCCTGCTCCCCTACACAAGTCGTTCAATTTAAAACAAAAAGGGTTCTCCTCCTCCACCCTGTGAGCTGATGGGGAATGAGCAATGTGCTTGACTTACCCGCTGCATCTTCCCACAACTAAGCTACTGAATCCGCACCGAGCGAATCAAATCACGTTCTAACCAATCGAGAGGTGTGTCTCTCAGGTTATTGCAGGGAGATTTCAATTTTGATGCTCATTCAGACTGCTTCAACCAGTGTCCGACTCTCAGTTGAGCGGTGCGAGCGAGCTTCTCACAAGCTTCTTCCTTGCTTCCCGCAAGCTTTTCCCAGCAAGCGACTCCTTGGGCACTGTGTCACTGTGTGTTGTTCAGTGCTTGGAAGCGTTTGTGCGCTTCGTTTCTTTCGAGGCTCAGCTTTCGAGACAGGCGGAGTGCTGCTCAGTCACACTGACAGTGGGAGAGAGGACCATGCAAGCACTTGATTTGTCTTATGCCGTTACAAGGTGAGTTTCGACGCGTGACGGTGCCGGTTCTCTGCAAAAAGCGTCGCTTCTGCCGCAACCTGAACATGCTCAATCAATCAATCAATCAATCAATTTATTTTATAGTCCCGTAGGAGCCATGGGTGGCTCATGAGACAAGGTCTGAACATGCTCAGAACATGGGTTGCGAGAAGCATTTTCTGGCGACCCTGGAGGGCTTACGTCAAAGTGACCGCGGCAGAGTGACTGAGGAAGTGGGAAGTTATGACAATGTAGCAACTGTTGTTGCTGCTTGCAGAAGCTGTGCGCATTTCATGAGCAGCCTGTACTGCTTCTTCCCCTGGATTACCTTCTTGAGCAGCTGCTTGAGGTGGTTCTCCAATTGATGCTAGCGCAGGCAGCGGGGGCATGGCAGGAACTAGCGTTTGTTGCTCATTGTCCGATTCCTCTTCCTTCAAGCTGCACAATGCCAGCCATGGGTCTTACTCAAACTGTTGCATGCAGAGCAGCTTCTCTGGGACTGCATTGACCCCACCCAAGCTGCATGCGCAGAGAAACCTGCCGCCGCCGATGGTCTCCCCCTCATGCAGCTCTAATCTTTCACCTAAACCTCCAAAACCCTGTACAAAACCTCTGACGCATCATCCTAGTCAGCACTCCACCCGCCCCGCCTCCTTCCAGGCCAAGGGGGTGAGGAAGAAACCCCACACCAAGACAATGGCCAAGACTAACCGCGACGTAGAGATCCCCACTGCACCCGTCAGCACGGACCCGGGGAGCAAATACAGGGCCCCTGAGGAGGGCCCTGAAGAAACTAGAGAAGGGGGGAGCTTCACTATGGAGGAGGCGATTGACGCCCTTGGGTTCGGGCGCTTTCAGGCCCTGTTGCTGGGGTATACGGGGATGGCGTGGGTGGCAGAGGCTATGGAGATGATGCTGCTCAGCTTTGTGGGGCCTGCTGTGCGCACGGAGTGGGGCTTACAGGGGTGGCAGGTGAAGCTTGTGCTCTTATGTTTCGTTTTGTCAGCTTATATGCTACTGCTCGAATCAGAGCTATCTGAGAAGCACGGTGTGATGAGCACCAGCTAAGAAGCACGGTGCGATGGGGCTAAGACAATTAGGTCAGGGCATGGGCGCTCTTCCTTCTTTCGCACTTTACTTAGGAGCCTAACTTGGGCTATGTGTCATGCTTCTCTCACACAATGTTGAGCTGCCTATCGAGTTTGCAACAGACTTATGAAAGAGCTGAGTGTGAAAGTTACCCTGCTCCAGGAGGCTGATGCCCCTTCCTTATAACAAGGGGGACATTGGTCTCAAAGAGCCTGATTATAGTCTCAGGAGTCCAATCTTGATAGATCTAACAACCTTCCCATCACAAGGCATGTGTAAAGTCGAAATTGCAAAACTTGAGGCAGAAAAAGGTTGCCTGCTTACAATGGAGCAAGACAACAGCTGGAGTGTTCAGGCTTGCACTACTTGCCATGTCTTTCCATTGAGGCCTGTCATAAGTCACTAGAAAACTGGTCAAATCACAGCAAAGGCTCAACTGAAGGCTTGCAGACCAGGGCGTGTTTGTAATAATCATCTGTAGCAGGATTGGCACAGCTGTACAGAATTTCGAAGGTCTCTGACATCAAGAATGTGGCAAAATCACAGATTATTTGTGATTCGTTGAGTAGGTCCAATCTTGTTGCCTTCTCAGGACGAAAGTTCTGATTCCTCTTATTCCAAGAAGCTGCAGAAGGGTCTTCGAATGAAGTTCTACACTTAGCAACAACGTTCTTAGTGTTATGCCTCCCTTCGTCTTGTGCCTGTATGTCTTTTGTGTCGTATTCAGTCAACTTATGCGAGATGCTTGTGTTTACAGTCCAGTCTCTGTTGACGGCTCCTCATGTTACTGCGTCTCGTTGTGTTCTCTCGAATTGCTGACTTCGCCTTCCTTCTCTACCGGAAAACGTCCCAATCTCCTCCTCCGTTTTTGGTACCCTTTGAAAAGGCCTCTTCTAACCATTCAAACGTGTCTTCTACCGTCTAAACGCCACTTCCATTGTCCTAACGCATCTTCTATCAGCTGATTGCCTGCTCGACCATCCATAGGCCTGTCTGAGATCATGGCCTTATCTCAGGCAACATCTTCCTTTCATTCATATGCCATTGACTCGTAAGTCTCTCCAAACCCGTTCCTAAGCGTTCGATTTTTGGAACTTCGTCGGGAGGGCACTATCTCAAGCCCCCAGTTCAGCACTGTGGCAACCGGCATCTATCGAGTTTACGTCTCGAGGTGCTACTCTTTTGTACAATGCTTGGCTCCATCCAGCGTCCTTTCCCTTCTAGTAACCCACCTTACAATCCGTGCTTCCAGTCGGTCGTCTGACCTCTCGTCCACCCCTTCGCACTCCCTTCTTTTACAAGTCGGCCTCTTCAAGCTTCGTGTTTGTTGGCACGAGGCTTGCCTTCTTCCGAACGACAAGAGTGTGTCCCCCTGTTGTCTCGACCCGTCGCCTTTGGAACCGCGTCCTAGTCCACCTACCAACCGCAAATGCGTTTCTGCTTCAGGACGGTGCCATCATCTTCAAAGTAGTCACATATACTGTAATCAGCTCTTACCTGGTCTCGACTCCCACCCCTGTCTTCCAACCCGTGTCCTATGTTTCCGCAAACCGGTCGGACTCTTTCTTTGCAATCTCGAGCGGAGTATTGCTGATATAACAGGCTTTTAGTTCGTCGTCCTACTCGAATGTTGAATCGTCAACTAACCGCAAAACTCTTTTTGTTTCAGAAGCGCGATGCTTCCCGCGTGGTGTTGATGGGTTCCTTGTTAGCGACTTTCACTACGTCCCCTACAGCCGTCTTCAATCCGTATCCTAACCATCTTCGAACCGTTCGAATATCCATTTCGCCGCAGGAAGGCGCCATCTCGAGCTTCATGGTCAGTGGCAATCCCATCGGTTTCTTCCAGCTTTTTCTTGACCCGTTTGATGATTTCTTTCACAAGAGGGCGCCAATTCCAGCGTAGTCTTCATAAGGATGAGGATTGCCTTCTACTCGTCTTCTCGCTCGTCATTTCTGACCCGTCTACTAACCGTAACATCTTCTACCCTTCAGGAGGGCGCCATCTCCAGCGCAGTGTTCATCGGCATGAAGATCGCCTTTTACTTCGTCTCTCGCTCGCCTTCTCTGACCCGTCTACTAACCAGAAAATCTTCCTTTTCAGGAGGGCGCCATTTCCAGCGTAGTGTTCATCGGTATGATGATCGGCGCCTACTCGTGGGGCGTCTTCTCCGACCAGCGCGGCCGCCGCTTCGGCTTCTTCGCGACAGCTGTCCTCACGTTATTCGCCGGGCTTGCCAGCGCGGTGTCGCCAAACTACGGCGTCCTCCTGGCGACGCGCTTCCTGGTGCGTCTGGCTCTCCTCATGACGTCGGATTAAATGATCAAGACGTCAGGTTGTAGTAAGAATCTTCTAGAACAGCGAAGTCGACTGAACGCACAAGCATCAAGTCTTAATCTTAGAACGGCCGTTGAGTTTGAGGTCTGACGGCAAGGCGCTCACAAACAAGCTTAAGATAGTCGTAACTCAGATACAGACCCAAAGTGTGTCAATTGTGGCTCCTCTAAGTCCGTTCCAAGTCTCTCGATGGTTGTACAGCTGTTTGCATCAAGCTGGTCAATTCCTTTTCGAGTTTTGCTCGATACTTTGATACTTCCAGTAACCGACCTTAGGGTCTTGGCTTCGCCATTTTCGGCGACCATCTGATTGAAGTGCGCGTTCTCATCCAGTTCTGCGTTTCGATGGTGGCAGGTTTGGAGTTTGTTGTTCACGAAGATTCTCAACCTGCTCCTTATGCACTAGTATAATCCTGGCGCTCCTGATCCGCAGGTTGGAGTCGGGCTGGGCGGCGGCCCCACGGTTTTCAGTCTCTTTACGGAGTTCTTGCCCACAAGTGAGCGACTTGCAGCTAACCGATCCCGTCTTTGTGGTTCTCGAAGCTCACCTATCGTATCTCGACTGGCGTACGTACTCGATTAAGATCTCTCTCTGGCGAGATGTGTGCGACATGTTCGTTTGACCGAACATCTGGAGATTGCTATTGTATCGCTCTCCATACCTTCCGAAACGACATGTACGTTTGACCGAAACTCGTTTGTTGTCCAGTCCGAATGTCTAGCCTGCTTCCGGCTCTTCTTCAGCCTGGAGACCAAATTCGTTTGCTTCTGCTCCTGAGCCGGTGAAAGCTGCAAATGCGGGGGGATAGTCAACCGTCACCATCCACCTTCGTCTCTTTACCGATCAGACGGTCATCAATTATCCGCAGTACGTCAGATTTGCCCCGATCTTTCGAGTCTAGAAACCATTTCAAGGACAGAGGAAAGGCTAGGCTCCCAGATTCATACCCTCGAAACGCGTGGAGTCTCAAAAAACGACTTTTGCCTTGGAAATCATACTCATTCAGTGGTATTCACCATTTCAGGCGACCGCGGCTTCTGGCTGGTGGGCATCAACATGTTCTGGACGCTCGGCTCGGTCGCCGAGGCCAGCCTGGCGTGGGCGGTGCTCCCGTCGCTGGGCTGGCGCTGGCTCCTGGCGCTCTCCGCAGTGCCGCTCGGGGTGCTGCTCCTGGCGTACCCGCTGCTGCCGGAGAGCCCCCGGTTCCTGCTCGGGGTGAAGGGAGACGGCAAGGAAGCGCGCAAAGTGCTAGAAGTGCGTGAGCGAGGCCGAGCGTGTCAGTTTCTGGCACTCTTATGCTTTGGCCGGACTTGAAGTCAATGGTGTCGAACCCTTGGCGACGTGATTTGAATTGGTGACGGCATTTTTGGCGCTTGGATGGAGAGCAGCCGGGCCGGAGGCTACTGCCGTACTCTGGCGCGGGTTCTGTTGCATTCTACGCCAAAGACCTTGAGTTGTTGTCGCCCCTCGAATGGAATTCGATGTGTCTTCCAATTCCCCTAGAAGTCAAGTCTGCCGCTCCTCGAACGGACGTTGATCTCTCGAGTCCAAAGCAGGCAAGTTAGTCGTCTCTCGAGAGGACGTTGAACTCTCCGTCTATCCCTGAGCACGCAAGTTTGTGCATGTAAAGAAATGCTCTCTCGCCCGTTATAACTCGAGTACATCTGTCCGCAGAGGGTGGCTAAAAGCAACGGCCGGTCGCTGCCCCCCGGCGAGCTGGTTCTCCGGGGGCCGGAGGAGAAGCCGCTGCGTAGAGATGACGAGGAGGCCGGACATCAGCTGACAGCGGCAGCGGACGTCCAAACGTACGTAGCGGCGTCCATAATGGGCTTTTACTGTCCGCAACTTGAAGAGGGCTTTAGGCCGCCGGTTTGACGCGATGCAAGCGCACGGTTTGGAGGCCATTGACCAGATTGCTGTCCGGTTTTTTGATTGCCATAACGGCGTTTCATTGCACTCTGCGGCTGACGTCATAAGCTCAGGCCCGCTCCTAGCACGAAGTCGGACTCAGGGTTGGAGATGGTCCTGGAAGCCCGGCGCTTTGTGCAGATCACGGATATTAGGAATGAGAGGCTGTAGCAGTCAGAATTCCTGAGAACCTGGTCTGTTGGTCCAGTTCGTAACACATCAGACCTGCGTAGGAGTTTCGGTGCGACCTTCAGGCGGGTGAAGGTTTCCGGGGGTCTAGTTTTCTGGGCCGCCGCTCCCCTGGACCAACCTGCTATTTCTGTAAATGAGACCGTACGGCCAGTAGTACGCGGCTCATCACTTGGTCTGTCTTGTCCCAGAATAGAGCCGAGTCAATAATCCTCACGTCTGCTCTGTTGATCCCCGAAGCTGATTCCTCACACCTCAAGCAGACCATTGTGCTCGAGTCGCGCCGCTTGGAAACTCGGCATCGTTCCCGCAGGTCGCGTCACACAGACGGGGGGGTCCATTCCGCAGGCAATTGGGGCCCCCTGGAGAGCTTGCGGGCAGTGGTGGCCCCTCTCTTCTCGCCCTCGCTCCGCAGCACCACGCTGGTCCTGTGGTCCGTGTTCTTCGCAAACGCCTTCACCTACTACGGCCTCGTCCTGCTGACGTCACAGGTGCGCGCGGCTGCTGGCGTCACTGGCAGACGAGGCCGCATGCCGCTGATTGGATGTTGATGTGGCATGGTGATGAGGCAAGTGGGCCATGCAGGCCAATCAATCGCCGGGCGTGCGTAGGGTGACCACTTTAGCTTCTTCCTATCTTTTCTCCTTGAATGTTGGAAGTTGACAACTCTTGGCGGCAGGTCCACCAGGGGCAATTGACTGACTGGCCGTCGAGAAGCAGTCCCCAGCGTTTCTGGACACCGGACCACGATGCTTCAAAACTAAACCCGTCTTTTTGACAAGCACTTTCAAAGCGTCGCACCCCTCGTGGCCGCACCAGTCAACAATCCGACAAAAACCTCAGTGTCCTGGAAGTTTCGACCCTTTTTTGGAGGTTGATAAACCGTCTTTCGCAGCTGGCGGCTGGGGGCGAGTGCGGGGGCGGCGCCGCGGCCGCGGCCGCGGCCGGGGCCGACGGGTCCGACAAAGTATACCGGGAAGTGTTCGTGACCAGCCTGGCGGAGTTTCCGGGCCTGCTCGTGGCTGCGTTCGCTCTAGATAAGATCGGGAGGTGGGTTAGCGACTGGGTTTGCTCACCCTGCAGGCCTTCCGGTTTGAATCCCTTCCTGCCAAGTCGTGACAGTGGTCATTCTGGTTGACTTCGGAAGTTGCCTCCATTCAGGACCCGGAGAGGTCCGATGCTGTACGTTCGGTCCTTGTCGCCTGTGCTTGACTTCGACTGGAAGGCGGGTTAAGGCGGGGTTCAGCTCCGCTTTTGGCTGTTTGGTTGTCTCCATAGCCACGTTGCATCCTCGGCTTTTGGTCTTTCTTTTGCCTTTCCTGAGGCTCTTCTGCTCAGTAGAGAACCTTCGCATCACGTCAGCAAGAAACAAAATGCGTACGTGCGACGGGCAGCAAACCCCGCCAGAGGGTTAGAAGTTAGCTTGAGATTGTCACTCCTCGCTGCAACATCCTATCTCCTCAATCCCGCTTACACGACTGTACTCCATGGCCACGTGGGAGACGCCCGACTCCTATTGACGATCAAATCCAATCTGCTCTCGCTCAATCTCTCACGCCATCCTTGCTCCGCCCCGTGCAGGAAGCTCTCGATGCAGAGCCTGTTCACACTGACCGGCCTCTTCCTGCTGCCCCTGGTGTTCAAGCACTCCGACGCGGGCATCACCGCGGTGCTGCTCTTCGGAGCCCGGGCGTCCATCATGGGCGCATTCACATCGCTCTTCATTTACGCCCCCGAGTTCTACCCGACCAGCGTGCGGTAAGGAAGCGCACTCGTCAGAACCCCACTTTCCAAGTAGACATGTAGGATCTGTCGTGTCCAAAACCTCAGATTCTCGTTGTAGCGAGGACTCGAAGCCTGTTCTTCGTCTTGTTTGCAACGTGCTTCCTCCAGTTTATGATTGTCTGACCAGCACCTGCTGTCCGTTTGTGCCCCGATTGCAAACCAACCAGCCTAGTTTGGCACAAGGAGACCCCTGTTAGACAAGCTTTTATCGCTCTTGCGCCAGAATCTGGGTCACGGCGCATTTTGCGGAGGCAGTGCAAAGCTCATGATCCAGCGCTCTTCGAAAGTGGGGGGCCGTAGAGAGCTGCCGTTCAGACGTGCGGGACACTTGCTTCGAGAGGGTTGCATTAGGGTCGAATAATACGACTGGCCAACCTGGACAATTGGCTTTTGACATTTCTGAGAGTCTTGGGTCTCTGGCTAGATTCATAAAAGCGTTGGCCCATGTGAGACGACTGCCCCTTACGAAGGGGTTTGATGTCAAAACGGACTAGTGGCATTGAAGTCTTGACGGAGATTGTCATCGGACACAATCTTATTGCTTTTTGAAGAAGTGCCAGCAATAAGTGTGGCGTGTTGTGGGCTTTGGTCACCGAGGCAACTTGAATCAGGGCGCCCTCTTAAAAGCTTCCGCTCGCTGCTTGCAGGTCCACCGGGCTGGGGCTCGCTAGTTCCTTCAGCCGTCTAGGGGGAATGTTTTGCCCATTGGTCGCGGTCGATCTCGTAGCCAACTGTCACATTGATCTCGCCGTGTCGTTATTCTCCGTGGTGCCGCTTGGAGCTGCCTTTGCGGTATCACGCTTGACCGTAGAAACGACTGGCCGCGCATTGTCAGACGAAGTGCACGTTGATTCTTAGCAGGCTCTTTACTTTTTTGCGTATCATGGATGCAATGTCAAGAAACGGAAGCCATAAATCAAAACAATTTTGCGGTTGCGGGAATACGTATGGCTCACCGTCATGGCAGAAACGGTTCTTGAAAGAACAGTAGCCAGGCAACACGACACATGTTGGCGGTTGCTTCTGAATCAATCGAGTCCTTGAAGCCTAGATCACCCTCGTACCCTGAATCACAGTAGCACGGAGGTGCTAAAGTACGAAGTACTACAGCGTGAGATGAGCATCCTCAGTGCTCATACTATATGCTCAGCTCATCCGCCTAGTTCACACTGTGTACCTATTCTCCATTTCCTCACAAAGACGAGCAAAACACCGGCGCTTGGTCTTCTGCACATACTGCGCAAAGCAGCAAATGCATGCTTGCAAGTAGTTGCAGGGCCAGGACGCAGCGGGTTGAGTTGGCTGCCATTCACGTAAATTGCCAGGCCTGGCTATATCTGATATCTAGCTAGGTAGTCGCCATTCCTACATTCCGGTTGCCAGCCTGTGCCGGTGCTACAGCTGACTCCGTGCATGACGTCAGAGCTCAGGGCAATGATTGAATATCATATCATCATCTCAGAATATGAGTGGCGTTTGTGGGTTAACCAAGTTAGTGCAGCTAACTAAGGATCACACGGAGCAACAATGGTTCGGTTTGAGGCGTTGGATGGACGTTGTGCGGCCATCGGATCGATGCATTCCAGGTCCAGGTCCATCGGACGTTCAACGACACCTACGGTGTAGCAGCAGACCGTCCCCGACTCGGTGGCAACAAAGGTAACCGCCGAGTTGGTTGGCGAGGAAGAACTCAGGATGATGTTTTCCGAGGTAATCGAGCTCTTTGCGACCAAGCTGCCGATTTAAGTTAGAGAGGGAATCTTAAAAGTTAGTCTGATTTTCGACTTGACTAACTTAGGTAGTCGTCTAACTTTTAGACTTTCCTCTCTATTAAAAACCGGCAGGATGCTTGGAAAGAGCTGTATTATATGAAGGCGTACATTTCGGTCCTCGGATCCTTGCCATCCCAGCAAGATTCCAACACGTGTAAATTACCCCTCTTAGAGTGGGGCAGTAAGTACCGCCCGTGTTCGTACGGTACGGCTGGGTACACCAAATCTACTGAATCTCGAATGACCCTCTCTACGTACCTCCTGAAACCCTGAACCAAGTACACTGTTCGTACCTGGTTTAAATTTATACTGGGCAATGGGTGGTTGAGATTGGGGAACTCACCCGTGCACGTACACTAACAGTTGTCTGGTACGTACCGTAACTGAGAAGCCAGATTCGTGGTTGGAAGCCAATCTCGAGGCTTGAGCGCGCGTTGGATCCACTTTTACAGCCTATTCCTAGGCTCAGACTCAGAGTCAGAGCTAGGACTGGGAGCACGAGGAGATGGTTTTCAAGGGAGCGCGGCAGATACCAAAGAGCATGCTCTTTTGAGCTCATAGCCAATTGTCACTGGGCGAAGGTCGTCAAGACAGGATATGCATAGCTTTCTGCCTGAAGGAAGCGCGTCGTTTTTCTTGGTAGGACGCAGGGGCAATGCCAGCTTGACCCTGAGCGTACGGTTTGAGCTGTAATTAGGGTCTCGCAAAAATGATCGCCCCTTCTGGCGCTATCTTGGTTGAGCTGGGGACACGAGGCTCAGCCAGGCAGCAGCCAGATGGAAGCAACGGTTTGAGGAACAACTGCATGCGGACTGCTGATGAGGCAGCATTTGTGTTGGATCTTGATGTTGACGCATCACGTAGGACGTTTGACGGCTCTCCGGAGCCTGAGAGGGGGCAAAACCGGGTCAGGAAACCAACTTTTCTATCGGCGTCCTTGGCCCTCAAGCTCACAGTGTTTGTGGGCATGCTCGTAACCGTGGCGAGCGGAGTTATGGCGCTGGTTTTCTGGTAAGTTCTGTGAGGTTGCACCTCACTTTGGATTAAGGGCGCCTGGTTCTGCTAGAACTTTTGGCAGTTGACCAGGGCTGGTTTCCTCTTGTCTAGCAGCTGATCAGGCTACTCAGAGCCTTCCTAAATGCTGGTTAATCCCTCTGGTTGATAAAACAGTCCCTGTGTGAGGCTCTGCTCTTCTTGTGGCCAAGTTATGAGTAAGTCAGTCGGTAAACAGGTACTATTTCCCACCCGTCTTGAGAAGGACGTGAACTGGTTGTTGCTCAATTTCCTGGCACTCAAGCCAGGAACTACTCTTGTCCAGGCTGAGATCTGCACAGTGATTTATTGGTGTAGTGTTTGTGCATCGTCCTGCCGCACTCAATCCAAGTCAAGCTCCTCTCCGTGGGAAAAAGACGTTCACATTTGGGAGTTGACAATTCTCAGGTTTTTCGCAATCTTTCAAATCAAACCATAATATTACATTCTCAGAGTCGGGTTGTGTGGAGGTAACCCCGAAGCTGCACATCTCAGAAGCATGAGATCATCATCCGCTTGAACGAAAAAACCATGCTGCCAAATGAAATGGCTTACATCCTAGGCTTTTCCATTACGTTCTTTTTGAGAACTTCAAAAAAAATCTTTCTGTCAATTCCTTCTTGATCCCTCATATTTGGTCACCTGTTGATCCAACCCGTCATCCCCAGTTCGGCTGCTTAGCTGGCACTGGAGATGTTTTCGCCCGGTTTTCTGTGTCAATTCGTTCTCTTGCTGCGCTTATTTGGTAGTGTTTTCACTGCTTTTGGCCCCTTGAGGCCATGGTGGCGCGTGTAGAACGCCCGTCCAGCTTGCAAGGTGCATGCATAGGTTTGACATAGGCGACTGCTCTTATGGTAAAAAGTTTAGCAAAGTTTGTTTGGAAAAGTCTGTAGTCTTTCGTGGATGGTTGTGCTTCTTCCTCTCCTGCTTCTGAAATGCCCTCCAATGAATCGCTTCATGGATCTTCTGAGAGGGGAAGGTATTGGAAGGGTGGTCGCAAAGATTCTCAGACACGGCGTCTTCTGTCGCTAACCAGCTTAGTTCACAGCTTCAATGTCTTATGACACCTCGTCTCCAAAGCGCGATAGAATGCTGGCTAGCCGTCGGCGCTGTGAGAGTAAGGCCAGTTTCCAAATGTTATAATGGCATTGTCGCCTCTCTCTTGGCCTTGAGCAAAACCAGAGCCCAAAATTATTCTACAATGTCCAGTGGGCCTGCGCATACGTTGGAAACTGGGACATGGTGACATTTTCCTCTGGCGCAAAGGATGTGCTCATAACTTTTCCTTCCTAAGAGTGGGCACTCCCCCTGGAATGCTCACATTGCCAAATTAGTTCCCCCCCCCCCTTTTTGTTTTTTCTTCTTTTTTTTGGCTTTTTTCCCCCTTCTCTCTTTTTTCTGGTTGGTTTTTATTAGCGACTGCTCTGGACGATTCTTGCATTGGACTGTCTTCCTTTCCCCGCCGCCTTTAAGGAGAGGACTGTCCAATCTTGATTTTCTCCTTTGAGGAGACCAAGTGAGATACTGCCTCTTTCTTAGATAGACATCAGTCAACTCCTGCTCCCTTCTCTGCACTTTGTCGGCTCTCGGCCACCTTTTCGGTGGAACTCCTCTCCCAGAATTGGTGCAATCACAATGAACAGAGAGTGCCTGATTGTCGTTTGTGTAGTGCGTGATGGCTGGGGCTTCAGAAAAAATGTGGAGCTTTGCTTTAAGGAAGGAACTTTTCTTTAAGCGAGATTGTGGACCTTAAAGAGGGCGTCGGGGGACCGGTCCCCCCTGACGTCAGCAGCGTACGGTGCATTTCATTCGTTTGGCAACTCTGCCCGTGTGACGCCGAATTGGAGAACCGGTGTGAGCCCGACCTGCGCGGCGTGCGGCAAAAGGAGAAAAGTTGCTCCGGCCGAGGTTCGATCGCTCGATTTCTCTGCGAAAGTTGAGCGCACTTGCCAGTTGTGTTAGAAGTTTTCGTGCGCCCAAGTTGGATTGAAGATTCAACGGGCGGGCCGGTATATGAAGTCTGACGCCCTCTTTAGGAGTGTCTGCAGCGGAACCCTCTTCATCCGTTGGACATGCTTTCACAAGCTTCGGGTCTCCATTTAGCCGTATGTGACCTTCATGTTTCTGTGTGACTGGTGTCGCACCAAATTCAAAGCGAGTGGACTCATTCTGGTAGCCATTGCATTGTGTCCTGAATCAACGTACCACTCTTCCAACCTTTATCTGCGGTTGTTATGCCTACATGGAAACATAGATTTCTTGGTGAATTGTCTTGGAGCCTTGTTTTGCAACTGAGCGTCAGAGGCCTCGTAACTGAGCTTCAGAGGCCATGTAACCCCTCCTCAAATAAGAGTTGTTTAGAAGTCAAGCTAGCTGATGTTCCTCAAAGCTCCTAGACTGTAAACCTCATGGTACCAAGCCCTCACTTCCCCTTGGGATCTCCGCCTGACTGTCAAATGCACCGTTATCCCTCAACTCTCCCCTCCCTCAAATAAAGGTTGTCTAGAAGTCAGGCTAGCTATATCTCAAAGCTCCTTCAGTGAAACTTTACTGTACCAAAATTTCACCCCCCCCTGGTATCTACATCGAAATCGTCAAATGCAGGAAACCAAATCCACACCCTCCCATTGCAGGATCACTGCAAAGGACGTCCTCGACAAGGAGCTCGGTCCGCGGCTCGTGACCGTCGCCACGCTGCGCAAGCAGAGCCTCCTCTCGTACATTTCCAGCGAGCACAACAACATGGATCTCATTGGCTCCCGCGTCCTCATCACCCAGATGCTTCGCAGAGTCAACAACGGCTCAAGACTCAATGCGTTTGACATCACGCTCGGGACACAGGACCTCTACTCCGCGATCGGTGCGCTCGATCAGTACCAAGACGGGGCCATCTTTGACCTGAACGGGACCATGATCTTCCAGACGAACAACTTTGTGAACTCGACGAGAGCGGTCCAGTCCAGCGTGCAGAGCCTTAACTACACGGACGGCGTTGCGTTTACGTTCATGAACAAGGGGCGGCCGCCGAGCGACGCGCTGATCCTGCTGTCGGTGCGGGTGATCAACAACTCGCAGCCGCTCGGGTATCTGCAGTGCACGATCGAGGCGGCCGCGTTTCGGAGGCTGGTTTACGAGCCGGCCGGATTAGAGAATACGGGGGAGGTGCTTGTCGTCTGCCCGGGGCCGGAGCCGAACACAATGGAGTTCCTGGTGGATCCTCAGCTGTCGCATGGGCGGTTTGAGGCGCCGTTCACGAGAGGGTTGTTTCGGGTGAGCTGGCGGTCGATTGCGGAGCTGAGGGAGATTCAGTCCGCTGGGGAGGAGAGAATGGTTGACCTTGGCTTTCACCCAGTAGTTCTTGCTCTGTAGTAGAGCTTTTTCCAAGTACAGACACCTATGCAGTTCACAAATGGAAGTCGCAGACAGTTTGTGCAGGTCATGAGTAGCATGATTAAGGTGAGCAAGGACGGTATCCGGCGTTGTGGCAGGGTTATAGGCAGCTGTCCAATCTCAGTTCTGTCAAGCTTGCCCAGGCCTCAGCGCCAAGCTCCAAGCCCAGCGTGACGCGTTTCCGACGGCCGTCGTGATTCCGACGTCGGTCGTGTTTGTCCAGGCCATCTATATGAAAGAAAGCGGCTCGATCACGGAGAAAGACTACCGGGGTATCAAGGTCGCCGCAGCGTACGCGCCCATGGATTTCGCGGACTGGGGTGAGCATCACGCGCTTTGAATGAGCGAGCAGAGGGGTGCTCTTGCAATGCCTTGAAAAGAGCAAGGAAGAGATGATGTGGCTTCGCTATCCTCGTGTCCCAAGATAGAACGCTTACTGCATTGGGGAGGAGGATTGGTTGAGCTTAGCTCGGGTCAGTGACGTGCAGAGGCGGCTAGGCGGCTGATTTTCGCTTTTGTTTGACCTCTACAGTGTGCTCATCCATCCCTTGAAAGCAGACGATCATAGAATTCTACGCAGTTCTCGAAATGCTGAGTCCTGCAACTCCTCAGCAGCCAGGCCCGGAGGCCGAAGCTTTGTGTTGTTGCCTCACTTTCAGCTTTTCCGGAAGCCTGGCGCCCGTTTCGAACAGTTGGTTGAATTAAAGAGACAGCCCATTGTGGTTCTGATCCGCACAAGGGGCGTTTCTCTGAAAAGATAGGGCTATAGTAGGACATATACAGGGCTCGAAACGTCAAACTGTCGAAGGCCTCTGGTGTATTGGCCCCACGCATCGAGGCGAAGCCGAACTTTGACGAGGCGTGCTTTCCGGATCCTGAGACACCCTTCACTTCGAAGTTGCTAGTGTCCACATACTTTATTGTGAAAACTTGAAGGTTTATTCATAATTTCTTGGTCGTAGAAGCTCCAATCTTCCACTGCCAGGCGTCGAGGTGAATGACGACGAATTTTTCACCGCAAATGCCACATTCTCCCCAGCTTACGTTGCGAATGTTCAGGCTGCACTCCTGATCAATTGGCGTGGATTCAAAAAGGAACCTCCCTAATATGTTGTCTTCCTCGCTCCCCTGCCAGGCATTGAGGCGAAGCTAAACTACGACGAAGCGTTCCACCCGATCCACCGCATCCGTATCATTCTGATCAGCTGCATGGTCAGCGTGCTCGTGTTCGGCATTGGCGCGTCCTACTTCCTGGCGCGCCTTTTCACGCACCGCATCGTGGAGCTGAACAAGACGGCGGCGGCGCTCGCGGGGGGGGACATGAATGCGCGCGTGCCGGAGCGCAAGCCCTGGATGAAGGACGAGGTCTATGAGGTGGGGGTCTAACCATTTTTCTCTCTTTTGCGGTGCGAATTGTCATTGTCATGCGGAGAGTCTGGAGAAGACGAGGAAAATGCGCTCAGGAGAATGAGGGTGTTTGAAATGGGTCTGGCGAGCTGCTGAAGCTCCGGGGTGCAGACTGGTTGTGGAGAGACACGCTTGAAGTCAGAACTTGGCATTATCGATTGAGTCGATTGCAAAGATGTTTTTTAATGTTTTATGTGGCCCCGTTGGTTCCTTCGTCGACGAGACAGTTCCAAAGGGTTGGAGCCGAAGTCGATTCCAAACGTCGAAGCGTTCGTCTGAAACTGGTCGTCGGGCACATCTAAAAACACCGAGTCTCGGTTTCACAGTTCAACATGATCGGCCGAGATGACGACCGATCTACTGCAAACTTTGACACCCTGTTTTCAGAGATTCATAAGAGCCCGGCATTATTTCCGCAGCTGACACGGACGTTCAATATGTGGCAGCGGAGCCAGCGTCCAACCGGTCGACGCTGGAGGCGCACAGTCCCTTTCACTAGAGTTGCTTCTGACGCGTTTTAATGGTTGTATCCAAGTGCCAGACTTGACTCTCAAACTCGCGATGATTCCCAAAAATACTCGATCTTGGTCCGCAGCTGACGCGGACGTTCAACATGATGGCAGCGGAGCTAGCGACCAACCAGTCGACGCTGGAGGCGCGCAGCATCTTTTGTTACGATCCGTACCTGACCCGTCTTATTGTTTGTTTTTGGAAGCAAAACGTGGTTTCTAAACCCGCAAGAATCATTTTTCCCTGTATTTTTTCTGCTGCTGACGCGAACGTTCAACATCATGGCGGCGGAGCTGGCGACCAACAGGTCGACGCTGGAGGCACGCGGAACCTTCTATTACGGAAAGCACCTGACCTGTTTCATTCTCCGTTCTGACTGGGAACTTTGGCGTCGAATATGCGAGAACTAAACAATATTACCATTGCGCAGCTGACGCGGACGTTCAACATGATGGCGGCGGAGCTGGCGACCAACCGGTCGACGCTAGAGGCGCGCGTGCTGGAGCGCACGCGCGATCTCGCGGCCGCCAACGCGGGGCTGGCGCTGGAGATCGAGGAGCGGAAGAAGGCGGAGGCGGAGGTGGTCAAGGCCAAGGACGAGGCGGTCACCGCGAACAACATCAAGTCCAACTTCCTGGCCAACATGAGCCACGAGATCCGGACGCCGCTGAACGGTGCGTGGGGAGGCTATCGCTGCTTTAGACTCTTCTTGAGCGGGAGATGCTTCCGAGTTATGTGGTTACCTAGTAGTGCTGTGCATTTTTGAGGGTTGGCTCCACAGGGAAGCTGTTGAATGGGGCCAGGGGGTCTGAAAATAAGTCAAAGGCAGATCTAAGGATTTTAAAGGCGTCGTTAAGCACCTCTTTTCGGAGGTCGCGTGGAGTGTTTGCTGATTGTAATGTAGGGCTATCGGAAGAGAGGGCAGATTTTGCAGACTTATCCTCTATCCGACGCCCTATCCGTGCAGGGATCATCAATTGTACGGAGCTGTGCCTGGACACGCGGATCACACCTGACCAGCAAGAGTATCTGGGCCTCGTCAAGTTTTCGGCCGAGCACCTCTTGAACGTCATCAATGATATACTGGTGAGTTTTCAGCCGGACTGATTATGGTTGGCCGAACTTGAGTGGACGGACTGGAAAAGGCCGGAAAAATGTAACGTTCGTTTCAGGGTAGGATGTCAAGCACAAGTCGCTGTGGAGCTCGTGGGCGGTTTCAGCATCTGCAAAGAAAAGAGCCTTCGTTTTTTGGATTTTCAAAGTCTCGCATGTTGCCTAAAGCTTTTGCAGCGGTGACAGGTGTCAATCGAAGCTGAAGCTGCTTGCAGTTTTTCGAATTCATCTTGCAAGTCAAATGCAAAGCGCATTGTCACTCTTGTTACCTAGGTGGCCTTCAAATCTAGGCGCTTGGAAAGCGTTCGCGCGCAGAACTTCTCGCTATTAGGCCCCTCGTCTGAAACTTCATTGATACCGAACTCCCTCCCCCACGCAGGACTTTTCCAAGATCGAGGCGGGCAAGATGGACCTGGAGAAGATCGAGTTCTCGCTGCGTAGTCAGTTGGAGCACGCGGTGTCGGTGCTTGCGGTGCGCGCGAGCAAGCGCAACGTCGAGCTGCTGTGTGACGTCAGCCCGGACGTACCGGACCGCCTCCTGGGGGACCCCGGCCGGCTCTTCCAGATATTCGTAAACTTGATAGGTGAGCATCTGGGGAGATTTGTGCTCTGGTGAGGCTCGTCTATTGACGTCTTTTGTGTCTTTTCCGGACCTGTTTGTCCTACAAAAGGTGAAACAGTCATGGGTTTTTGCTCAAGTGTTGCTTGTTTGTGTGTTTGGTGATCTTGCTATGCTTTCTAAATGTGGCCTCAGGGAGCAGGCGTGAAAATCTGAACACTTCCACCGGTTGCGTAAAAAAATGTCATCATCCCCTTGACAGCGCTGGAGTTTTTTCTGCACGTTTCAAGCATGCGCTTTGGACTCGTTTTAGCTCGCCAGGCCTTCGTCTGACCGGCCGACCTGCTCGCATCATGCAGGAAACGCGATAAAGTTCACACCGGCCCCGGGTGTGCCCCGGGGTCAGGTACTCGTCACGGCGTTGGTAGAGAGCATGTCGGAAAGCGGTGACGTCATGCTGAGGCTGATCGTAGAAGATACAGGTAAGACGTGGCGCCCACACAGGCAGCGGCTTCTTCTTTTGGGCATGATCCGCTCTCAATCGTTCTACTTTTGAAAGTGCTGTAGCTGGCATTTGAAAGAAGCAGTTACTTTTCAGCAGCTGGCAATCAGGATGACGTAAGCGTGCATCAGCTCGCATCTGAAGGAGAGCAGCCACCCAGTTATTGGCTTTGATGCAGGGACAAATGTGGAATGTGGAGAGTGCGTCCAAATTGTAAGCTTCCAGGCTGACTCCTGGTCTGGTTGGGGGCGTTGCAGGTATAGGCATCGCGCGCGACAAGCAAAAGTTCCTCTTCAAGGCCTTCTCTCAGGTTGACAGCTCTACGACACGGCTCTACGGGGGCACAGGTAATGACCGCACCTCGGGCTCGTGTTCAGGGTTTGTCTTTTGTTCGCTTTCACGTCAGTGCGCGGCGCAGAATTGACTCTACCAAGGGGGTGCTCATTTGCGGCCTCTCGTTCCATCGTGGCAGCTCGTATGCAGATTCTCTTCTTGTCAGCCCTAGGCGCGTTGAATTGCTCTTTGGCATGCAGGACGGCTCACGTCTTCTTTGTTTGCCTGTCCAAGCTGATGTGGTTGAGCAGTTAGGGCTTGGAAAGAGCCTCTCGAGATAGATTCTCTTGATTCTTGCCGTTCCCCGTATTCACTGCCGCTGCATTGTGCCCCTGATCTTTGCTTCACCGACCGTTGGGTCCAAACACGTTTGTTGCATCTCAGCTCCGTTCCCTTTCCACATACTGCTCCAATCCTCTGATTTATTTTCACGCGCTTTCTGCTCTGCCGTTTCTTCGCTCCCGCTTTGGTCATTTCTCCGGATTGGCGGTTGCAGCAAGGCCTCCACAACTCAACTGCCTCCTTATCCCGACCTGTCGTTCACTTCCGATACATTGGGTACCTGCGCTGACCTCAGTCTCTCTCCATGCTGACGCATCTTTTCGCCTCCCGTCCTCTTTCCGCAGGGTTGGGTCTGGTCATCTCCGCGAAGCTGGCCGCCGCGATGGGGGGGCAAATGTGGGTGGACAGCGAGGAGGGGAACGGCAGCAAGTTCAGCTTCACCGCCAAATTTGAGCTCAGCCCCGATCAGGACCAGCGGCGGCTATCGGTCGAGATCGAGAGCATGGAGGTGAGCCGGGTCTTCATTTGGACATTCGAACAGGCTGGTCATTTGGTCAAGACATTTGAAAATCAGTCTCTGGTTTGCATGTCTCTCACTCTTCCGTATGGGCGCACATCCCGGAGTAAGTTGTTGAATAACCTCAGGCGTTTGACGCAGCTTGGCTTCAGAGTCAGGCTGGCGCCCGTCTTGCGCACTTCTCGAAGTCTTAGACGATAGATTGTCTATGTCGATTATAACCATCCTTCGCGAAATTTCTTGCAGCACCTTTCTCCTTCTTCGGTTTTTGCTTCGATTCAAAAACAACTTCACTAGATCTCTTCAGAAACTCATGCACGCTTTCGGGCTCTGCTTTCGTCATCAAACCACTCCATGCTGACGTCGACTCTCGTCACCCCCACAGGACGTCTCCGTGCTGGTCGTCGACGACAACCCGACCTCGTGCGCGCTCCTCGAGCGCATGCTGACGTCATGGAAGGCGGCCGCGCGCTCGGTCCCGGGGGCATTCGAGGCCGCGGCCGCGCTGTCCGAGGCTGCGCGTGCGGGATGTCCATACCAGGTTAGAGGAATGGATCGCCAAGGGCAGATTAATGGGCTGCGATGTGGATCTGCTTAAGCAGGCCGATTGCATGCTGGATTACATGCTTGAGGGGACTAAATTCGTTGCAACTTGGTATGTTTTGTTCCTGACAGCCCTCTAATGAATTCTGTGGCCTCATCCCAAGCGCTTTGGTTGGAACGTTCTGGCGCTTCGCTAACTTGGCGGCTGCCCTCCGGGATCGTAATACAGACTGCTACCAACACCATTCACACCTCAACAGTCGCAATTGTAAGAACCCTTTTGTGGTGACCAGCGGTATCTATTCCTTTCCATTTTGGAACTTGCAAACGTAAGTTGTTGAATCTTTACTGCATCCCTGTTGGCGCCCATCTTGCTGACACGTTTCGCAAGCCCTTGCTCAGGTGTTGCTTGTCGATCTGGACATGCCGGACATCGACGGTCTAGAGTTGCTGCGCATGCTGCGCGAGGAGCGGCCCGCGCTGCTCGAGGGCGTCGCGGTCGTCATGCTGACGCCGGTCGACTACGGGGACTTGCACAAGCTTAAGGAGCTTAACGTACAGGTAAGGGGCGGTTTTCTCGATTTGCTGAACTGCTGTCGTAGTAGGGTTTGCTTGCCGGGTGTTTTCAGGGTGGATTTCGCATGTCTTCATGCTCGCTCGGGTCTCTTCTCACCTTCGGGGAAGCTCTAAGGCTTTGCAGCTTGCTTCATCTCGCTGTGCATTTTCGGTTTTTATCGTACTCAGCCTTGCCCCTTCACGTGAGCGATTGGTCAACGAAATTATAACGAAGCGCCTTCACAAACCGCGTCAAACTCAGGGCGCCAGCCCATCAAGTTGCTTGGCCCTGGACTATTATGCGCTAGTTGCTTGCTTCTGCATGTAGTCATTCTCCGAGATATTTGATTCTGACATTCAAGGTTCAGCTTTTCCTAAGGGCAATACATAACCAAGCCATGTGCTCGTTCTGTCTCTTGGTCCATAGCATGAAGAAAATTTTTCTCCGCATTCAGGGCAACTGCACAAAACCGATCAAGGAGTCGGCCCTCCTACGGACGCTCCACGGCGCCATCGGCAGTTCGGCGTCGCCCGGGCGGCAGTCTCTCTCCGAGCCACGGAAGCGACTCGCCCCGCAGAAAAAGCTCCACATTCTAGTTGCCGAGGACAACCTGGTGAACCAGGCGGTGGCGCGCGCGCTGCTCACGAAATGGGGGCACACCCTGCGGATCGCGCCAAATGGGCGGGAGGCGGTGGAGATGGTCACGAAGGAGCGCTTTGACATCTGCCTCATGGATGTAAGTGCTTTTGGTTTGAGGTTGCGTGCTCAAGAATCGTGTTGATTCTATTGGCTGCTTGAGGGATTGCCGCGACTGCCCCACAGACAAGGTCGTTTAGGTGATATTCAGAAAGAGGGGACACCATGTGTATGTCCCGAGGTAGTCGCCCTTTCGCAACGCTTCTCTTCGCCACTTCGTCGCAGCCCCTGCCCTTATCATCAAATTCTTGCAGTTTCGCGTCGCTTTTGCTTGAAAAACCGCGAAGCTTCGGTGCTCCGTGCAGACAAAGAAAGTAATGATTCTGGAGAGACACTGTTCCGTTGATAAGATTTCAGAAAGCGTCCGTAATGCTCTAAGACTTCCATGTGAGGGAAGTTGCATGGAAAACAAGTTGCTTCAGGAACTCTCAAAAGAGAGAAGTACGTTCCACGCAATCCATTATTCTCGTGCGTCATCCCATCCAGGTGCAAATGCCGGTCATGGACGGGTTGCAAGCGACGGAGTTGATACGGATAGAAGAGGGGACGTCGGGGCGGCACATACCCATCGTCGCAATGACAGCGCACGCGATGGCCGGGGATGCTGAGCGCTGCATTGCCGTTGGAATGGACGGCTATTTGAGGTCAGTGCTGCGGTTTCCATCTTGAAGCTTGTGGGCGACTTGTATGCGGGTTCCACGTGTCCAATACTGGATGCCCTTTGGTTGTTGGGTCCGGCTCGTGGTTAAAGTCTGGTTCCTTATCGGGCAGTCTCAAGTTCGCTATCTTCTAGATTACTGAACTCATGGCCGCTGCGGCCGGTCCGGCTCTCTGGCCATGATCCTTGACGACTTTCCTGAGCTGGCAATCATAGGAGTTTGAATCGGAAGTTTTTGCCGGCATCCGTTCCCAAACAGCAATTTGACCTAAGGGTTGTTCCTGCAATGTGATGTTGTGCCTTCAGTCTGTTGCGCTGCTTATTCTGTTCGGCAGGAACTTGTTCAAGGTCACATTTGCGTGCGCTTCTGTCTGCAGCAAACCCCTGAACGCCGAGAAGCTTCATGCGTTGCTGCGCGACTACGCTCTCGGCAATACGGTTCAGGCGATCATGACGACGCAAGACATCGAACCCGAAAAGAAGAATCCCCGGAGAGCGTCCGCTTGACATGTAGCATAGGAGACTGATCATGTATCATAGGTGACGAAATTGAGGGTTTCCTAGAAAACTTCGAAAGAACGAGTTATTGCTTGCGCGCGGCCGATCACGTGCTGCCGACTCGGGCAACGGTTGGGGCACCTCATTGACTTACTATAGATGGGTAATCTACACTGCACTGAACTGAGCTAGCCTAGTCTTTCTGGTGGGTCCGCAATGTTAGAGATTGCCTGTACACTGGATGGGTGAGGATAACAGCGCTGCGTGCTAGCCCTTTGACAAAGGTCAAGGAGCTTATAGACGTTCGGATCCACAGGTGTTCATTAGTGGGCCTGGTCAGACACCCGTTGACAGTCAAATATAAATCGGAGGCTCGCAGCGGGAATATTTGTGGATCCCAGACACCTTGATATTGAAAGCATTCCGACTCTTCTGACCTGCCAGAACATCCTGATCAATGCGCGGGTGACTTTCTTTGTTTGTCGATGTGGATGACGAAGATTGCGTACATGATGATGTGGGCAGACATCAAATTAGCCCCCAATTTCCGGTACTTGACGGACTGGCACGGCTTTGATTTCACTGCGTGTGGCCAAGCTCAACCTTTGCGTGTCAATTAGAAGATTACGGTCGACGGGCATGCCGCGGCCTGCTAACAGTGTAGCTAGATCGTGTTAAAATAATGCTGACGAATCCGGATGGTCGGACGTACGTACGTACATGCTAGGGCGGCTGAAACGTCAGTGCCTTGCTCAAGGTGGCAAGCTGTTGTTTTTTGAACGTCTTTCGCCTTACAAACGAATCCTTGAAAGAAAACAGGGATCCTCATGCAATCAGCCTTCAAACACGTGACATGGGCCGGCGGCGATTGCGCTGTCAAATTGAATTCTCTATCAGCCGAGTGTGTCGAACCGGCTTTACGATGGCAGCCGGACAACCGGCTAGCTTAAGGTCGATTTGGATTCTCGCAGCTTCCTACAGAAGATTTGCAAGTGCGCCGGCATGCGGTCTTATATCTGGTTTGCATGTGCTTGTTCGAGAAGATCACCAAGAAGACTTTCAACACGACGATGAGTGTCCACTTGTGGTCCGACCTAGTCAATATAGCCCTTCAGATAGGCCTCAAATCCAGCATGATATCCTGATATCAGACTCTCGATAGGTCTTCCTTGCGAACCCTGCCCGGGTTCAAGAGACGTCGCAACATTCTTCCTTGGAGATCGAGTCAATGGGTTTGGCCTCGAACAGAGAGTTCTGATTGCTCAGGCGGCCGCGTTGCAGCTGATTCGGCGAACGACTTTGGTAAGCTTCATGAACCAGCACATGTCAAGCAATTGCCATCGCAAAGACAGACAGATGATCATGCGAAAGCGACGAACTGATTGAGTGTACAGCGCTCCCGCAGTACTTTAGAAAGGGACCAGATTTTCTTGGGAATTCCCAAGCATGCAAACTATTGACGTGCCATCCGTATCTCCAGAACCATTTCTAGAGGCGGAAAGAAACTCGCGAGCTTCCGCTACTAGGAGTGCTGAAACTTCGTGTCCAGTAGAAGCTCTTGAAGTCTGACAAGGCAGGGTCTGAAGGGTCATGTGTCGAGCCGCCATGATCACCGAACATAAAAAACTCTGATAATTGAATCTTGGTGACCTGACGATCAACTTCAGTCGATAAGGAAACGTGAAGACTTTGGGTGCAGAGGAGTGGAGAGAGGGGTCACTCAAAACTTGAAAGCTTGGTCAATTAGCGGCAGTTCGGTCGGTTATACGGTAGCGTGCCGCGGCCGCCGCAATTATAAACGCCCTACCCAGACGGTCGGCCGGGTATCCGATAAGGCCCGGCCGCGCCATCTGAGCGCAAATCTCGATTCCCTCAGCAAAACCCTGTGGCACGTACCACGTTCCGGGTGGCGGCCGCCACGCGCGCGGTGCGCCGTTGTGGCATTTCTGTGCTGACTCTATAACTCCGTGACAGCTTCAGACAAGAGAGGGCGTATTTTCACAATACCAAGATGGGGGGCAACGCAAGCAAAGAGGAAGGACCTAGATTGGACAACATATCTCGCTTCTTGCAGGTAAATGATCAGCCGTCCTTCTATAAGGACTGTAAGGATTGGTATGTCTCAGGATCTTCCCGCTCAATGTCTGGCGCCTGTTGTTGACGATGATAGCGGTGCATTCACCGCTTTCCTCTGAAGGCTTTGAATAATCAAGAGGGGGCTCGAAGATTACGAACAAAAAGAGCTTTGAGTCTGATTGAAAGCGATGATAAGCTCACAAAGCAAGTTCTCTTTCAATACTAGTCTTTCCTCCCTGAGGTATGAGCTCCATATCTGTTTGCAAAAGAGAACTTCTTTACTCTGTGTAGACCAGACCAACTCTGAAGATTCTGAAGCATGCTTACTGCATCTATTTCCCGCAGGAAAAACGCACGTGATACTCCTCGAATCGGGTCAAAAGCCTGACAACAGAAACGCTGTGTATACCATTTGCGAAGCGGCAGGCAAAATGATACTTTCCCCGATGAACAGGTGAACAGATATCCGGGGCCTGGTCATTTCTAGCTTATTGAAATTCTACCTCAAGGGATTCGATCTGCAAAGAACTTGGAAGTGATTGACTAATCAGGTATCTTTGTCAAGCACTTCCATTCCCAGATTGAGCATGCTCACTGGGGTCTCGAAAATCATTTTGCGGCGATGCAGGGTGAACTTGGACAGGGACTGCATCTTGGAAGCGTGCAAGGACCCTGATCAAGACTGGACTGTGCGCTTCAAGAGCCCTTTCCTCCAGGTTCGACACGGCTACATTTGTTTGAAACTTGACTTTCTCGCTTGCACAAGCGTCTGGTGTCTAAAACAGGAGAAGCAACTGAAAGTTCTTTCTGACTTTATGTCTCTACTCTTGTAGAGGCTTCTTACTGATCTACACATGCATCTTTAAAACAATTGGTCTCCGTTTCACCTCATGTGAATGAGTCGGATCGAGGAACAATTGCAGCTGTCTTGGATCGAATCGCTACTCAGATCGAAATCCCAACCATCCTGCTTCTCTCATGCTTGCAGTCCGATGCTTGGTGGCTGGCCCCCCGCAATGGCCAACTTGTCTTTTGTGATTCGGACTCTGAGGTGAGACCAAAAGTTCTTGACTAATTTTTACTCGTAACAGTGTTATAAGACCTCAAAAATGCATAGGCTTGTAAGTTGCCGTCTGAAAATATCCGTGTGACGATTAGGCGCCATTAATCCGGCCTACCCCAAGAGTCTTATCTTCCCAGGTACTTTGCGCCGCAGTACACATCCGATGCCGTTCTCTCTTACAAAGGTCATACTTACCATCAGGATGTTTCAACTCTTCATTTGATATTTCGAACATCTTCCTCTTTGAAGGAGACAAAGTGGACCGTCGAAGGGGATAACTTTGGGGACTGTCAACTCAAAAGCATCTGGTAAGGCAAGCTTATGCAGCCAAAAGGTATCCGCGTCACCGCCCTGTCTCGTGCAGAAGGATAGGCTATCCATACATTTTGCCATGTCAAGTTTTTTCTCACGTGGATTGCCCCTGCCTAAGTGCTATCTTCGTGAAACGTTTGCACCCGCAAAACATTCAAGGTTGCCGTTGCCAAGCTCTCAAATAGCTCTTCAAAAGCACGCTTTCTCTTTCTCAAGTTAGTACCGAAGCATCATCACATCCTGTACGAAAGTTGTCACTTGACCACTTTCAAAAGCAGATCCGACGTCTTTTGCAGTGGAAACTGGTCGGCTACGGTGCGCTTTCTCTTCATGGCGTCAGAATGGTTTGATCCGGCCAATTTCCCGCTGTCTGAAGGCGGGCCTTATAAGCTGCAAAGCACAGCTTTGGCGGGGCTTCAGGAGCCGGTTCGCAAGAGAGTCATGTGAGTTTGTCAAGAGCTTCCAAAACATGTTGCAACGTTTGTGCCTGAAAATCACATGTTTCCGTTTTTCATTGATAGCTCAAGAGAACCAAACAAAGGCACATTGCTAAAGAGGAGACAAGAGGAGCGAGCAGGCTTGGTTGTTGGATACTCTCCCTCCTGAACTGCTTCGTCAAGTTTTGTGACGCATAACAAGTCTCATCAAAGCAGAGCGGTAGGTTGCAATCAGGCGGGCTTTATTTTCCTGAAAGAGCCCAGTCGCATTCATCACCGTTCCATCGAGTCATCTTGATCAACCCGGGCGTTTTCACCAGAGTGGCAACGTCACCCTGATAGCAGTTCTATCGCCGGTAAAGCTTTTGGACTCTTGCATTGAAGAGAAAAACAGGGCTATTTTTGCGTGAAAGTGAAGGCCGATCAAGGTGCAGCTCGAAGTCTTGGATTGAAGCATTTGTATTAAGCTCTCTCACCATGCATCGATCTGCGTTCGAAAGTAAAGGGAGAGTGCAGCGCTCAGGTTGGAATTTGCGTTCAAGAGGCAGTGGTGGTGCACCTATCTGATAGATTAAGTTGCATACCTTCGCTCAAAAAGTTCCCGTGATTTCCTCCAGACACGAGTTCCCGGATCCGCCTGACCCTCAGAAACCAAGAGAGCCGCTGCGGGACGAAGAACAGAAAGTAGTCGACGCCGCCGTGAGACTTAACGACTACTTCCTACGGATGGATGTCGCAAAGGAAGCGCACACAGGGGCGGATATGGCACGGCACTTCAGGAAAGTCGGAAAAGAGGTAGAGAGAGCTAGCAGAAGGCTTCCCAAAGAGGCGGCTTGAAAAGGGTAGAGGACGCCGTGCTTGAGCTAGACCGCCGTCTACAGGGCATCCCACTCGACCCACATTTGCAGGTCGTGGTTCCGCTGAGCAGCAGAGACCTTGTTCCGAAGGGTCGGTCGGATTACAAAGCTTTTGTGGAGGGGTTCATGATGGGCCTGACGATGTGGCTTCTCGAGTGAGGGGTAGCGTCCTTTGAGGGTCCTCTGCAGTCTGTTTGCTTTGAATCGGGCTTGCTTGTTGTACATGGGGCTCGTAGTGCGCGCAAGCTTGCACAGCATCCGGTAGAGGGAGATAAGATCCTTGATGCATTGGAAGGAGCATTGAGAAAGGCAGCTTTAGCTTGCGAGTCGATAGTTTAAATAACTCAATCAGAGTGCGGTACGACTAGGGACATAAGGATCCTCCAGGTACTGTGACACTGTTCTTAAATGCATTGTCAATGTTTGCGATCGATCATGCATAAGCCAAACTGATTCCAATGCGATTCTCTAGGCTGCAGCAATGGCTAGGCATGAAGATGTAACCCGTTCTCAACCGGACGGACTCAAATGCTCGTGCATAAAATGTGGTGCGTTCTTGGAAATCTAGCCGTGTCAAAGGCTCTGCACTGCAAGCTGCAATCACCCATGGCCGGGTGCCAAAAGTCACATGATGTTTTTAGTATAGTGTTGAGACGAGCGGAAAGGAAACCAACGTACCGCTCGTTGCTTTCTTACACATGCTTGCCGATGGATGCTGCACGCAAACAATGACATGCAACATGCATCGAAATATGATACGGAGTGGCATCGCATGTACGGTCCGCCGGCCATGCACTGATTTCCGAAACTAAAGCGAACATTCAATATCGAGTTTATATGAGAATGATCAATGTTCTCTTGCACATACAGTCTCTCAGTCTACATGGGTTCTTGCCGATCTCCTGGGCGGCCGTTTAAAGACCAAACGAGTTATTTCGAGTACGGGTTGTGAAAGTTAGGCAGTCTCCCCTGTCACCGTTGAACCCTCGAAGGCATTTGAATTTGGAAACAATCCTGGTCCTAAAGGCCCTTTTGCTACTGCCGAACGTCGCAATCTCGCTTGTGTCCACTTTTCCAGTGAGTCTTTTGACAAGTTTGGCTGCAGTATCGGGCAATCCTGCATCGACCGCATCTCATGAAGATCCCCCTTTGGTTCTCCGCTCGCGAACACGCCTGAGAGAGTGTACACGAGTAGGTTCAGCAAGGGAATCCGAAACATCGGACAGAATCCAGATCTGCAACTCTCGTCCCCTTTTGAATCAACCGTGCATGTCTCACTAAGGGAAAATACTATCGCCGACCCTCGAACCAGAACCAGATGAACGGTTTAAGAGAGCAGCTTCGACGGGCCTCAGTTTCAGAATCGCATCTCCAACGAGTTCGAAGCTGCCTCATTCGCGGATGCCTTCAACCCGAGAATGCGAAAGAGCCGGCCACAACGGCCTTTGAAGGTACTAGTTCCACCGGTTGACAAGCCTCATAATACGACAACAAGCCACAACTCCCTCCGCGTTCTTTCGATCTCCAATCATTTGCCTTGAGTTCCCAAGGCGGGCGGGCCTACATGAATATCCTGCCGTAAGAATCAATCTGACCCACTTTGATGCACCATATCAACAAGCTCTCTCAGCTGCTTCGTAAGGCAGAAATGCAGTTCCAGGGGAGTGACTTTTCGGCGACGGCCTTACCTGGTTGGCGCACTGTCGGAGCGAAAACGCGGCCGCCACCAGCTCCCACACCGCCTCTACCCTGCTCGTCACGTCCGCAGCTTCCGGCGACAATTGCCCCTCCCGTTCCGCCCGGAAACGGAACCGTTGCAGCCGCTCCCGCTCCTCGATGATCGAAACGAAATGGGGGACGCCCTCTCCCTCGCAAAAGGCTACGAAGTTCGCTGCCGAGGGAGTGCGAGCGCCGCCCGGGACGGCTGCGCGGAGGTCCGAGAGGTAGCCCGGGTCCCACTTCCCGGCCACGTCTTTCCGGCTGCTGCAGAGCTCATTTCCACGATGCGGACGTGCCCCGCGAGCCGGTCGAACTCCTCGGAGTGGCACCGCAGTATGCGCTGATTCGATTCGAAGTGGGGGAGGACCGCGTCCTTGACACCACGCCAGTTGCCCACCAGCTGCCGGACGAAGAGGTGCAGCAGCTCTGGTGTCAAGAAGGCGCTCGGCTGGACGTCCAACTTGGAGCAGAGAGTCAGGAGCGGGAGAGGGTTTAGCTGCTCGTGAAACGTCGGCCCCGCCGCATGCGCCGCGATCTTGAAGACCCACCCGAGCGCCCCTTCTCTCACCAGCGCTTCCTTCACGGCATTCTCCTGGGCGATGGTGCTGCTGCCACGTGGCACTCGGAGGGGCGCTAGGACGCACAGCGCAAAGTCCTCGGTCGCGTCCAGGGACAGCTGCCGCGCTTCTGCGAAGCGCTTGCAGACCTCCAGAAAGCGCTGGTCGTTCAGAATGGCGGCCAGGGATGCCCACGTGGCGCCAGCACATTGGCCGACAGTGGTCAGCGCCAGCACGTCCCCCGTATCGGTCGAAGCCCACCGCTGCAGCTGTAATCACGACAGGAGGCGTGCGCCGACCTCCTCTAGCTGACTGAACGTCGATTATGGAAGGGCCTCTGACCGAGCCAGTTCTGCTCTAGTAAGGTTGAATAGGATGAAGATCATGGTGGCTGAGAGATCGGGGTGGACGGCTCGCCAGTAGTTCTCCAGCCCTTCAGAAACGGGAAGCACGAGAGGGGACAGGCAAAGCTGCCTGTGCAGATCAGCCTGGCAGTAGTCCTCGTCTTGCCGCCGCTTTGCAAAGAAGGTGGCGAGCTGCGTGATGACGTCTACCAGGCGGGCTATGTCCGGAGGGCTCTCTTGGAGGGCCTCCTGCAATGCGCTGAAAGTCATGAAGGGCGAATCCGCGATCAAAATGGAAGGCTCCCTCGCGCCGTCACCCCTTGCCGCCTCCCGCCCCAAATTCTCTGCCGGAAACGTTTGTGAGTGATTCGTCAGCCGTTCCAGGAATAGCTGCCGCTGCGTGCCGTGTCCAGGAATGTGCTTCAGCATTGTCCGCACTCGCTCGACACTCGGCCGGAAATCAAAGACCCCCTTGGACCCGTCCGCCAGAATGTCGAACAGCCCCAGAATGGCGTCCACACAGGTCTGAAGGACGTCGCCCGTTTCTGACATCAGCAGTGTCCTGTTATTGGGGTCTTCGAAAACTTGCTGCATCCGCTCCAGAAGCGCGGCCCCCCAGGCGGCAGCCTTTGATGCCAGCTCAGGTGACTTTCCTGTGTGGACCCTTGCGGCGAGGCACATATCGCAGGCGAGATGCACAGCCATAGAGACAAAGTCCAGACCGCTGAGCAATAGACGTTCTGCTTCTGTGAACCTGGGGCAGGCCTGTTCGAGCGGCAGTGTCTCAAGCAGCCTTTCCAACACTCCGATCTGCAGCCACTTGGATGCGAGGTCTTTCTGCGACTTGCAGAGGAGAATGGCGGTCGTGATCAGGTTGCTGGCGCTCATCAGGCTAAGGTAATTGTAAGGGGGCTCCGAGGCTTGCGCAACGAGCGAGGGAAGCTCCTGGAAGAATGCTGCCAGGGTGTCTGCAGCCCCGCACTCAAGGAGAGTTTGTGTGGGCTTTGGGAAGTGTGCGCTCGAGGCAATCAGCTTGGACATATAGTACACAAGGGAAGGCTCTTTGGTGAGCAGCTTTAGCAAAGATTTCAAGATGATCTCGACAGTTTCTGAGTTTTGACAGAGAGCGAGGATTTGCCTGAAAGCTTTTGTTGGTAATCTCAGCGACAACACGGCTGCCCGACTCTCTGATAACCTTGCGTAGCCATCAGTGACTGGGGTTTGAAAGCGACGGATCGAAAAAAAACGCAAGTTTAGATTGATTGATTGAGAGAGATATCTTCGGAGCTGACTCTGGAAGACAAACGCAGAATATCGACTAAGCGTACCGAACCGCGTCGCTGCTCTCGTGCTGTTGCGACAGGGCAAGAACATAGGAATCTGCCACGTGTAAGGATTGACGGTCGTCGATATCGGTTCCATGATTTACGGCGGTACACTGCCGAAGACTTTTATTATATAGATTTGGAAGGTTCCGTAAACGTACGCGCTCTTTTTAGCCCAGACGGCAAAGAGTTTGGTCGGACGGCTCGAGCCTCGAGGTCCAGGGTTCGAATCCTGGCAGGAACGTCAGTTCTTCGGGACTCGAGTCTCAACCCCTAAAAGGGATGTCGTGGACACGTGTCGAATTCCTATGTTCTTGCCTGTCGTGAACCATCGCGAGACAGCTTCGATGCAATTTGTCGAAAGCGTTACATGCGTTACATATATACATGTCATTCTATATAATTATTCGATTTCGATTTCGATACACCATGTGTGACATATATAAGAGACATATATCCCTGGTGATGTCACAGAACAAATGTGCAGCATCTTCAAATTCACCTTGGTCAAAAGCAGTCCGAAACATCGGATGCATTTGGTGGCATGTTATCTTTCTGCGCTCGGCTAGCTCAGCTGGCTAGAGTGCAGTTCGATACAACTGCCACGTGCCTTCCACTTGTGGTTGGCCCGAAGGTCCGCGGGTCAAATCCCGTAGTTTGCAACTTTCTCTGGACGGAGGGGTTGGCCTGCCTCCTTTCGGAATTTTCTGTGGATCTGGCTAAAGGTCATTCAAGTATGCCTGGCTGCGGAGAAAATCTTCGCTAGCCGGCGCAGAAAGATAACCCGAAGTCACCACTTGAATATATAAGGCCATTTTCAACCTGTTTGCCGGCGTTCCGTCCGCTGCGCTTCCTTTGTTTCCGGCGCGCAGAATCGCGATTTATTGTTGAAAGTGGCGAAGCCGTAGGAATGGGTTTGAAACCGTCGCTGTACGACTTGGCATTTCTCTAGAGGTTTCGCGGCACTATCGAAGACTTACGGACCCTTAAAACTCCTCCCCGCATACGCAGAGAAGAACTCCCAAGTCCCGACTTACATTTATTTAGTTTGCGATACATTGTTTGCGATTCATCGAGGCCGTTTGCCTCGAATATCGACCGTGCTCGTCACTCGTCGTTTTTCGGCGCGTCGGTCGTAGTCCGTATGCAAATTTTATACACTCTCAACCGTTGCTTCATACGGCTGTGCCAACTCTGGACGGTCACGATTGCGCGATCGTTTAAATCCAAAATGGCATGGCTTACGGAGCAGAAGGCTCCCGTTCTAGTTTTTCCGTCGTTTTGGATGAAGGCAAAATAAAAACGACCTCTATTTTAAAACTGGAGTTGCCACCCCGTGTTTCGGCCATATGCTTATGACGGCCGCCTCATACGGTTAAGACCACCGACTCATACTTGGTATGGTCCAAACCTCATGACTTATGATCGACGCCGCATATGGCAATATGAGGTTTTGTTCATAATATCGGTGAGACTGGGTTGACTCGGTGACTCGGTGACTCGGTGACTCGGTTGACTCGGTGACTCTGGCACCGTGACTGCCAAGCCGCGGCCGGTCGGCTGCGCAATCGTCCATCCGACCCGGCCGCGGCCATTTAAAATGTAGGGCGCAAACCTCGATTGCAAAACCCTGGACGTACCACATTTCGGCGGGCGCCCGCCAAGCGCGCGGCCGGTGCCATCTTTGCGGCAATGGTTGACGCGGGCCAGCCGCGCCAACTTCGGAAATCATTGGATTGAGCTACTACTACGCTGGGATTGCCATGCAAGGCGCATGCTGTACAACGAGCTCGACAGGAACGCTCCTTGATGCTGTTGCCTTCCCACCGATTCCTCCTTTCTCTGATTCTGCCGATCAGGATCTATTTACTGCCATGTTCCGGTTTTTCTGCACCGCTCGCCGGGCCCTCACTTTGGGTCAACTCCAAGAAGCAACGAGAATGACAAAGAAGGTAAGCAATTTTTCCTTAACTTCAACCTCTAGATCATGTTGTGTTCTTTGTCAGGTCTCCACCAATGTTGGTCTAGTGGTAGATTTAGATCGAGGCTGGTTGGTTTGAGGAGCACAGGGCAAGCACAAAGGCTTCTGTAAATGGAGAGGTAGCCAAGAAAGAGACTTTGGAAGGATTTTCTGCGCTTAATATGGACCAGGAGTCTTAGCCAGCCGGTAATTGTTGCAGGTAGGAGCAATGGCATACTCCAGTGATGCGTCGGAGCGCGTTCGTTTCTTCATCACCCAGGTAATGACAAGCTTTCCACAAATCGTGTACTGGGCGATAGAAACTCTATGTTTGGGGTTGCAGGTGTTCATCTAATGGAATCTTCTTGACTGTGTTGCCGTAATGGAACTTGTCAGAAATTGTCATACTGTTACCAAGGAGCCGAAGCTGCCTTCGTTGTGACGTTTCTGTTCAAGTCATTGACGCTTCAGTCCACACAGAACGCCTTCTTGAATTTATCTGAGCCTGTGATGTAGATCTCAATCATAGTATGAAGCTCCCATTTACATGATAGACGCAGGTGTTGTCAGCATTGTGGAGTTACGTGCTCGTTTAAGTTTCTCTCTGTGCTTTTGTCAGGGGCTGCCAGCGGATCTGGCGGAGAGCCTCGGAAAGAAGCGCCGAAGCCAGGACGTGGTAGTGTGGTTTCTGCGGGAGAAACTTGCCCAGGAGAAGGTGCTGTCAGATCACCATCAGGAACTTTCGGCGGTGAGGCAGGCCGCAATGGAGTATCTCGAGGAGCTGGCAACGGCTAAAGAGCAGCGGGCGGAGCTGCGGGGGCAGCTGAAACTCACGCGGATGGAGTTTCTCCGGACGCGGGGGAAACTAAATTCCAGGGGCCTGCTGGGTATGCCCCATCTTCTTAGTTCACTTTGTAGCTCGTCATCCAAAGTTATGCAAATGATGCAGGGAACCAGGTCTGAACGAGGTAGAACTGGTGGAAGTTATGGACAAGCATCTCGTCGGGGAAGAGATGCACTTCATCTTCAACATCTAGGGAAAGGAAGCCTGGTTCGGCTTCTGTTGCAGAGTCCTGTTAATGCAGAGTGGCTGTACCACTTGCCATGGAACTAGAAGTAGTATGTTCCTCTGTCTTGGAATGCATGCACCTTAAAATGCTAAGCTACTGTTTTGCATCCCGCGAGCGCAACGGCATGCTGCATGCGAGAACCGTCCCCTTTCACTCTGGGTGTGAAGTACTTGTTTGTGATGTTTTGACATTCCAGGACTTCAGCCGAAGGGGTAGGCAACAGTGGCAGCTCTTTAGGCTCATTTGCGTGTGCTTCGTTATGGCCAATCGCAAGTGGGCACTCTGGATCTGTTGTGGTATAAGTTCGAGAATCCAGTCATATACTCTGTCTGCTTCATTTGGTTCGCTTGGCTCATGGTGACATCATCAGGACTGCTATCCTGCGTTTTTCCGAGAGGTCACGCACATGAGTTTTCTGCATTCTTTACAATTATTGGCTGGCTTACATAACCTTTCTTTTGCAGAACACATCAGCGACGATCTTTACGAGGCCCTCCCAGCCCCCCCCCCACTACCTCCGGAAGGGTCACCCGGAGGGACAGATTCGCCGCAGTCCTTGGTGATCCTGCATACGTGGGGCTCCTGGACGCGCTGAACAAGCTGGAGAAGGTCTCCCCCGCTACGTGGGCCGCGCGCTTCCTTGCGATGTATGCCACCCTCTCGAGTCATATCCATGACTTCCAGACTCCGGAGGAGTGGCGGAACTCCGGCGCGCGCCTGGTTATCGCAGAGGGGCCGCTGACCAGCAGGGATTGTCGGGTGCTCGACACCACCTGCCTATACTTCGATATCGACCACATTGTTCATTGGGCGGCCAGGACGTCGTCGGGTCAGTTTTTGTCCTTACCTCTGAGCAGGAAATCAAACTTGAGTTTACTTGTGCCCTTGTCTGATGTTGAAACCCCCTTATCAGCAAACCCCCTTATTAGCAAGTGAAGGTTTGTTGGGCAAGTTTATGCGATCTGTGGAGATGGTCAGAGCCCCTCATGAGGAAAGCTTGTAGTAAGTGTCGTTGCTCTGGTAGGATGTCCCAAGTCACGTATTCCGGATAAGCCTCCCAACCTTCATGCAAATGAGGTTCTCATTAACAAATTTTTTCCGTGCAGTGGAGGACGGTTTGGAGGAGGATTTGGGAAAAGGGTGAGAGTACACCTTTTTGAGAGCTGGCGGAATTTTTGGAAGAGATAATGTTGCAGATTGCCAGTCTGGGTTGCGTTGAGATGCGTAAGTCAAAGTCTGTAGGGCAGATGTCGGCGAAAGAGTTACTGAGACCTTGAACTCTAGTATCGCAGACATTGAGGCGGATTGTTGCAGAGGACCTCCCGAAGACGGTGCAACGCAAGTTCGCGGGAGAGACGCTGGGGCCCAACGCAGCAGGGGGTAAGTTACTAAAGACACAGGCTCCGTGCAGAAGGTTGACTGATGTGTACTTTCTCTCTGATAGGCGTCTGTCAACCGGCGAAGTGGACAACCCCTCGTTCTCCTGTAAACATTGTTTTCCACGTGTGGTGTCTCAGCCCTGCTCGATTGCATGACGAATCTGACATCCCACTACAGCTTTGGATAGATGGTAGAGTTTGAAAATCTACCATTGACAAAAGGGGGTCTCTAGGTATCTGATTGAGCTTCTTCATTGACCAAGTAGATTCATAGGTGCAAAAGTGACCAATAGCAAGAAGTGGGCATTCCAATGTCCGCATTTGACCTTACGACAACTGAGGAGCTCACTCCTGGGGCTTGAGTACACGTAATTCCGTGACGATCGGTAACTTCATGCGTCACAGGCGCAAGCAGTAGCATGTAGCAGGTGCAGAAAGGTAGGCTTGCACAAGCCCACGTGTTTCCTCCCATTCACTGGACATTGGCTCACGTGTCCCCTTCTCAGGCCGCCACGATGGGGCCGATGAGCAGTTGGAGGAGGTGCGGAATCTGGACGACCGCGCCGGCGCTGCGGACACCGTGGTGCCCGGGAGCACGGGGGGGGTGTCACTCGAGACGCAGCTTCAGCATTCGACAGGTCAGTCACGCGAAATGCCATCTTGTATGGCCTGCCAACAGCAACCGTTCTCTAAGGGGCATCTTTCGCTTCGTCTTCTTATGGCGTGTCATTGGCTTGCCTTTGTTGAATGACGATCCTTAGCGTTCGATGGCGGATCTGCTCGGTTGGGTCGTTTGCGGGGCTCTGCGCGCCTGCTTGAATTGGCTCGCTTCGACGTCGAAAACCTAGATTTTAACTCGCGGGGGGTATGGCCAGGTGCGATTTAGAGCTCGACCGAAATTCGTGCATTGCCACGTAGCTGGTGAAATGTCGAAAATTTTCGTTTCGGAAGGATTTGTGTTACAATTGATATTCGTGAAAGAGATATGGTACGACACTGCCGGCTGCCGTCGTGGGTTCGATAAGCTGTTGCTGGAGAGTTGTGCAATTGTCGGACGATCTCCCCAGTTTGCAATTACATAAGGGCTGCCGGTCTGGGATATCGTGCTTTGTCGTGATTCGGTGGCTGTGCCGCTGAACCCTGTTTAAATCTGGGTCAGGGGAGGTTAATCATTGCACGGTCCGATACTCCATAGAGACCTCGTCGGTTGAAGTCAAAAGCCGGGTTAATTTGTCTTGGACCCTGTCAGTCTGCAATTCCAAGGCAAGCCGGTGTTCTCCGTAGGAAAACCCTAAATCTAGCTTCTTCTCGTTCCCGTTAGATGGCCCCGCTCTTATCTGGTGGCGGTTCTGCCAAGTTTCTAGCTTCGAGAACTTAACCGAGCCCTTCATGTATGGAGCTTCTCTTGCTATGACTTGCTAGCGCAAATCTCTCGCAACGGTTACGATCACGTAGCTCGGACACAAGCATCGATGAATGCCGGGCTGAAAAAGAAAGGCACCGTTCCTTCCGCTAAAGCCACGCTCTGACCTGTCTTAGGCCGCCACGAGGAGGGGACGGAGACCAATGCCAATGACGCGCGCGCGCTCAATGGGGAGAACGAGCGCATCAAGAACCTGCCGGGAAACGGGGAGCGGGAATGAGAGAACCATGCACGGGCTGGTGAGACGGTGAACGGGGCCCCGCGGAAGTAGTCGCTCAAGGCGTATCTTCATTGTCGAGCTCGGTAAGGAGGCGTCGCTTTTAATTGATGATTTTGTCTGTCCCAATGCACATCAGTCTACTCTTGCTCTATTCGCAGGCAGCTAAAAATACCAGCATGTGCCTCTCAAAATCAATTGCGGGGCTCGCTCCACTTGGAACTTCTCTCAAAAATCAGACCGTGGAAACGCCAGAGGGGAACTTCTCTGGCAATGGAAACTATTGCATTGCGGAATGAGTGTTGGCAACAAGACTCTTCGCTTAAGTTGCAGCCGTCTTTGGAGTGAGCGAGCGAGCTTCGACAGTATCTGATTAACCACTGTTTTAAGTTGATCGATCGCCCAAAAAGACAGAGGCAAAGTGCGAGATGCACTGCGATCGGGCTTGTGGACCATATGCAATAAGCATCGAAGAATGCATTTCTTACTGGATTGATGATCCGAGATCCTCGAGAGCTTTAGTCATATGCCTGCCTGGAGCTTTTTCAATCAGCGACACGAGGTCGCTGTTGGTTGCTCGCCGTGATCCTTGTGTTGCTCAAGAATAGACTGCCCATTACTCTTAAGCTTAAGCGCTCGTACTCTACATGAAGACCTTTTGCCTTTGAGCAGTCAGGTTATTGAGTTGTCGGGTCAGAACTTGAGCATGCCGTTTGGTTGCACTTTCCAGCGGAAAGGATGAACTTTTCCAGCGTTTGATGGGTTTGATACGGGTGGGGCGCTGAAGCCTTCATGTGCGTCCGGTCCCCCTAGCCTGACCCGAAGCGATGTCTTGCAATTTTTCTGTCCAGGTCGTTCCAAGGACGACAACTTGAGGTTTGAGGCAATTCGAGATAGCGGTTGCGAGGAGGCCGGTTCAGACTGGAAGGATGATCACGCGGAGATTAGGTGTTAAATTCGTGAGGTAGGCAGGACTTCGATAGAAGGCTGGTTGGTAACCTGTTGGACGCGTGGCCGGCTGTTAATTAGGTCTGATTTGGAGAGCTTGTAGAATACATGTATATTGTGTACATCAACAGCAAATTGCTGAACGCTTGCCCGCATGGTTATATATACGTTCCCAAGAAGCACACCATGTTAGGTTTTCATGCAGCGAAAGGAAACCAATTGAGAGGGAAGTCGGAAGGATCTAAGGACGATAAGCTGCAAGGCTGCGCTGAAATTCTAATCTCTTTGCCGCGCTTCATGCGGTTCTTGGTTTCAGTGATGTCAATGGAGGTCATGGAAGCCTGATTCTGGAAGGGATTGATCCAAACTTGAAAATTTGTAGCCATGACGTCTGCTGGTACCACCTTCCTTGACCACGTTCGTTGATGAATCTCATCCTGGCAAGTCTGTGAAGCAGTATTCTTTTCCTGTTTTTGTGTAAAGGAAGTTTATTTGCATGCAATCAGCCTTGCCGACGGCCGGCCATACCTGATGAGCGTTGTATGTTTTGACATGTGCCTCGAGCTTGTGCAAGCATAATACGACCGGACTTCCTAGATCCGATCAAATTGTGAGCCGAGCCTTATAAGCCAAGACCTACACGCGTGCAGTACAATTGCAATTTTGTAGGTACCGGCCACCAGCGATTATGCGCTGTGGTTGACCATGCACATGTTCCGCCAAACCTCTTGCGGCCATATGCTTGAAACTTGCCCGGTTTCAATCTACCATAAAGTACTCTTACCTGAATATGGCGAGGGCATGGGAACAGCCCGAGTCCATCACGTATACTCAAGCTGCATGTAATTCTTTCGAGCTGATTGCCAAGATGGTAAGATAGCCGCGTATATCATGCAGGTTTGCTTAATTGGATGATGTCATTGTGGATATATAACTCCAAAGGAGAGCCATTCACAATTCACAGGTTGTAACTGTGCGTGTTACCTGTGCGGGGACTCGGCGCTAGTGGATAACTCGAACTTACCTCTCGAGCGCCCGCCCCGGCCCGTGAGGCGACAGCTCGATTCCTTGACCTCGGTCCCATAATTGGATACTAATTCGGCGGTAACAATAGGCGCACTCGAAACATCGCGCATCGACTTGCCTGTATTATGAACGTACGCTTGAATATGTGGCCGCCTTTCTTGTGACATAGATTTGCGACAGTTCTGGATTGTGCAGCTTTGTGCGGCTTCATTATTCAAAGACGTTTATATTCCGAAGTTCCAAGCTAGGCAAATGGCAACGGCGTAAAATTTTGCAAGTGCACGACATGGTTGCATCTTGCTGGATTCAAATAAACTGAAGTCACTACCGGCACATCCTCTAGCATCTGGAGGCTCTACTTTTTAAGTGTGAGTTTTGGGCGGGGTATTGCTGTGAGATGGCTGAAGATGAGGCCCGGCTTGGGCCCCTCGCCATCCTTGAGCGTGGCCTGGAAGATCTCTTGACACCGGGCAATGACCTGCAGAGACGTTACAAGCCGTTCGGTTTTGTAGCGTGCATACAGTACGGGGCTCGCGCGCAAATGCTCTGACGCGACAATTGCAGCAGGAAAGGCTGAGCCTGCACTTCGCTGAGCCTGCATAAGTATCACTTTGTGCGACTCCTTTCAAGCACCGTACTTATGAGTTGATTGAACTTGTCGAGTCGAAGTAGCATTGCTAGACTGAAACTGATCAGCGGAAAGCAAAGGCGACGAAGAAGGACTCACCTCTTTTTTGTCCGCCTTGGCAATGTCTTCTCGGAAGCCGACGAGCTTCGCAACAACTTCCGGCTGAGAAGAGAGAAGGGAAGCAATCAAAGACGTGTTTGTTTCTCAAGGCGACGTCGTTGACAAAGGGTGCCCTACACAACCCCAAGTTGAGTACAAGCAGCAACAGTTGCCACCCTCATTCCAGACTGCTGCTCAGATCAACTTCGGCACAGCAATACGTAAACTAGTTCACGACCAAAGAACAGCAGGACTCTAACCTCGGCGCTCTATGGAAGCTGTCAGGCACTACGCGTGATTCTACGAACAACCGCTGCAAACCCGTTGTCAGCGGATGGAACGAATTTGAAGCGGTGCTCGACAAGACCACGACTATTTAGGAGTGGTTATGTTGGTCAAGAGAACACATTTTGACACCATTTTGACGCATCTCTGCAACAAAAAGGCGTAGGTCATGATGGAACAAGCGTCAGAAGCTGGCAGGCGGCGGAACAGCTCACGGGGCAGTCGGGGTGGTTCTGCAGGAGCGTGGTGTAGTTGAGCTCGAACGACTCGGAGCTGTCCGACATGATCAGCTCGCGCAAATCCGCCAGCGGCTGCACGCGCTTCTCCACCTTCTGCAAGGGGGTTAGGAGTGGGGTTACAGATGGGCTGAGGGTTAGTACTGGCGTTGGATCAGGGTGGAATGGTTGAAGAGCCGAGTGGACTCTGAGCTTTGAAGTAGGGGTGGGGTTACAACGAGCGTTACAGATCGATCATGGCGTGAAAGGGTCCGGTTTCAGGAGGCAGTATTGGGCTCAGAATCCAGGATCAAGAGGGCGACCAGGGGTGGCCCCGTCTAAGCGAAACAGACGCATCCACGTATGCTCCCACAGCACACCTCTATTCGTCGTCAAGCAACCGTTTGGCCCGATCTGGCCCCTTCATGACTACATTTCATTGGCCTTACCATTCCCGAATTTCAAATCCTCCTTGATCGAGCACGCCCGAATCGTAAAGCCCTAAAACCCTGTAACGACTCTGTCCGCACATGTTCATGTGCGCCCTCCGTGATCTTGAAACTGAGCAAGGAAGACGGCTATTCGACAGACATTCATGCAAAGCGGAATAAAACTCTCTAGTTGACATGGTACTGATGCCGCTGACGGGCAATCCTTCGTCACAGCTGTCGAGCGGCCAAGCGCACCTTTTCGTTGACGTGCACCTTGAAGAAGTCGTTGATCTGGTACTCGTCCTTGCCCATCCGCTCCAGCGTCGCCTCCTTCACGTAGTTCTTCTGCGCGACGCGGGTCGGGTGTTCTCTTCGTCAGTGACGAGTAAGCCACGTGTCCCACAATTGGAGCACTACAGAAGCGCTCTATTGCGTAATGGCGGAAGTGAACAAAACGAGCGGACCCTCTTCGTGGCAACCAATACAAAAGCACCCGATTCAAGCGACAGCGACAGGGCGCATTTCTGGAAAGTGACGTCATCCTCCGGTATTGCCGATAATTTCGGCAGACGTCAGCAGGGGCGTCAGCGAAGAGTGGGACCGCACCTGCAGCAGCAGCGCGTCGACGTACGCCACGATGGTCCGCTCCAGGCACGCCTCCGCAAAGCGCCGGAAGGACCGCTCCTCGATGAACCTGCGAGACGCAAGACGCGGCCTGTCCAAAGTGGGCGTACACAAATGCGTCTCAAGTGACGTGACAAAGCGACTGTGAAAGCTTTCTCATTGTAGCGACGCTTAAGCGCCTGAATCCTATTGATGTCCCTCCCTCCTGACTTTACTGTTGCGGCCCCTTGAAAAGATCGAGACTACCAGTCTGCAAACAGAGACCTCTAGATTTGTTCTTGTGTGACAACAAGCTGCATTTACGTCTAGAGGGCTGCTCTGACGCTCGTGAGAAAGGAATCAAAGATCGCTCTTGTGCTCCGTCCGTGTAGCTCAATTGTACTCGTTCACAACACTCCTGGTCGTGTCTTCTGATTGTCAAAAGATTATAAACGGTAGACTCCACTGGATGTTGGTAGTCGAGGCATTCTGTTAAGCTCGCACGTACCGTTCGATGTCGCCGAAGTAGTCCCGAAACGTCTCGATCAGCGTCTCCGTGACCAACCCCTGGTACCAATCTGCAGCACAAGGCCCGCTTTCAACCTCCGTCACGGACCGCTCACGTCTGAAACGTTTCTTCAACGGATTTTTAACGATTCTTTATCTTCTATTGCTTCGCATGCTCCGGGGCAGTCAGTACGGTTGTATCAGAAGACAGGAAAAGACAAGCAGGTTGCATCCCAAATCTTGGGGGTTGCGACGAGTTGCAGAAACACCGCAGCAAGACCTCAAGTGGCCGCATTACCAGCAGATTTAAAGCTTGGGTTTCGCGTCCGAAAGCATGTAAAGCTCTGGAAGAGATTCCAGATTTCGAGACTCTTTTGAGCCTTTGACCCGTTTAACCCGTTAGGAATAGCTCACCGTTTTGGTAGAGTGCCTGCAGAATGCTCCTTACTCCGGGGTCCTCGAAGATGAGCTTCAGCGTCAGATGCACGGCATCCTGAAGGGTGAGGAACTAGCATCTTAGCGTGCAAGAGTGCAAGGATTTACTATTCTCGAACTTCGAAATCCAAGGGAAATGGAGCCGGGCTTAGAAACCGCTGCCAGCAGACGAAAGTATCATGGCAAAGCGTTTTCTTGCAGTTGCATTTTCGCGCCTTGAAACCTCGTTGGAGTTCTAGTCTCTCGACAAAGAATGCGTCAGACACCGGGTTGTGCTTGCTAGAATGAGGGCAAACTCAAGCTTTTCGTAACGAGTCAAGGACGCCACAGGGGGAGCAGACGGGAACAGTAGAGCGCTTTTCGTGGAAGCAGCAATAGATCGATTTAAACGATGCACGTAACACAAATACCGGCTACCTAGGGCATGAGACGTGATGAGACCTCACCTTGGCAATATCGAGGAAGTTTCGACACGTGTCCTCGAAATGGATCTGCACAGGGACCAGTGACCTTCACAAATAAGACCTCTGCTTGATGCTTGAGGCGTCCTTAAACAGAGACCACAATGCGGGAAATCAAAACGGACCAATGATAAATTCAGTGGAAGCTTTGTTTTGTTGTCCGAGACGTCCTGACGAGCTCTGGCGTTCTCGACATCTTTCACATTGCAAATAGAGCAATGGAACGGGAGTCGAACAAGCTTAGGAATAAGTCTACAGTCCTCGACCCGTCCAGAGAAGCCCAGCCTGAAAGGTTGACGATCTGCGAAGGTAGTCAAGGACAACGTCGGCAAGAGTAGCGCACCTGCTCAGAACTACAAAGGAGCGCGTGACGAAAGGTTGTCGAAGAGGTCCCTGCCCTATGAGCTGCAAACCCCAAAGCCTAATCGGAACCTTAACCCTGCTCCAAAATGTCTGCATGCGGCGCGCAGCTGCTCGAGCGTCGTCATCGGGAAGGGAGTGCGTGTTCTTCTCGAAGAGGTCCACAAACTCAGAGACTTTGAGAACTTCCTAACCCCACAAACCCTGAACCCTCAACTCGAAGGTCTAACCCCTGGAGTCGTGCACCAAACCCTGCAGCAAGAAGCGCGTACCTGCTCTGCGTAGTAGTCGGGGAGGGAGTGCATGATGTTTTCGGAGAGGTCTTTCGCGAGGTCGTAGCAGCGCACGTTGTTGTTCACCAGCGCGCACAGGTGCTCCAGCCCGATCTCCATCACCGGCTCGTCCATGTGCCGCCGCTCCGCTGCCTGGAAGTCGTTCATAACCTGGCAGAAAAGGTTATGGGTTACGAGATTGCGAGAATACGGGCTTGAGAATCATCGGATTGTAAGGGAATCTGCAGTCACAGGTGCTCCAGCCCAATCTGCATCACCGGCTCCTCCTTGTGCCGCCACTTTGTCGCCTGGAAGTCGTTCATCACTTGGTGGGGAAGGAAGTTTCTCAGGTCAGGGTTACAGATCATGTGGTATTTTCAGTGCTTTAAAAGAGATAGGGTCCCAGGGGCACTTGATCAAAGGTGCTCCAACGCAAACGCAATCAATCGCTTCTCCATGTGCGGCCGCTCCGCCGCCTGGAAGTCGTTCAACACTGGCAAGCAAAGGATGTCGGATGACGATCTAGAGAAGCTTCAAGAATTGGCTCTTTGAGTCATGAAAGTAGATCGTCAACGTGCGAACAATTGAACCCGGATGTTGGCGTCTTCTTGCGGTCGCATCCAACCGCCAGACATGCCGGAAAGGGCTTCTTGAGTCCGGAAAGTTCCGCAGCTTTCACTTTCGCAACAACCGCTAAATCAGAAGACGCAATCAGAAATCTGATACTTTTCGTCAACCTTAGGCCTGCCACGTGGCAGTCACCCTGATGACGGCCTGTGTACAACCTTCTAGACCCTACCCTTCTTCGACCCTTCAGAAGACTCAGCTAACAAGATAGTTGACCAATGGCACCCACCTGGATGACCTTCTGCACGGCCATGGAAACCATACCCCTTTTCTATCCAACAAAAGCCCTAAAATCAGGAAATCTTCCAAATCTCCGAAGTTCGCCACACGTCATCACATGGATGATGGCTCACGCAACCTGGTAGACCATACCCCTTTTGTGTGTGTAGGTAAATATACATCACAAATCTTTCTTGCATTAGAACTTCATCCGAAACGTCCAAAGTCTTTCTTGTGTCACTCACCTGAATGACCGCCTGCGCGACCCTGTAGACCATACCCCTTTTCAATGAAGAGAAAGATGTACCTAGGAGTTCAGAATTCCTCAAAATCTGCCACGTAAGTCAAGTTCTGCCACGTGTCCCTCACCTGGATGACGGCCTGCGCGACCTTGTAGACCATGATCCCGGTGCAGTTGTTTTGCACGGTGGCCACCTGCTCCCCCAGCAGCCGGAAGAAGTCCACCGCCGACGGCGTCCAGCAGCGGCCCTCGTCGCTGAACTTGGGGGGGCGGCTCCAGTCATCCTCCAGAATGTTGCTCAACCACGACTGCGCGGGGCATATGAAAGTTTTTAGTGAGTTAACGAAGGTTGTGTTGTGGACGTTCCTTATCAGGAATGGCGGTTCCAATCGTCCTGAAAAATGTTGAGGAACTTTGAAAATTCAGATGATTGTTCAGGAAGCACGACCGCAAAAGGAGAGACAAGGCTTTGACGAAGATTTGGGGTCCGGTCGTCGTCCAAGATGTCGCAGAAGGACTGTGCGAAAAAAGAGTGAAGGGTTTGATTGTTCATTGGCTTGTGTTTCTTAGCTCCTCCTTCATGAGAGAGTCTGCTTATCCAGGAAAAGGGCTGTCGTCGTCCATCAGAAAGTTGTGAAAGCAGGACTGTGGAAAATAGAACAGGGATTTCGGAAACAAGGGGTTTAGTGTCCCCCAGATCACAAACAATCTAGCTCCGCTCCTTCCAGGAATTTGCTTCATTGCAGGGGCGGCTCCGGTCTTGACCAACAGCTGCCGAACCACGACTGCACGCAACGAACTCGTGAATTCGCGCTTTTTTGATCCCAACGATTCGTGGACGGTTCGATTTTGGCTTTGCTGAAAGTAAGGTAACAGCCCTGGTACCGTTCTGCAGAACCAAAACTGCGTGGGTCAAGGAGCTCAAACCCCAGGCATTGGAGGGTAGGAGTCTTGGAAAACCCCTCCAGCTGGCTCAAGGGTCTGTGGATACTTTGTGCAATCCACTGATTGTACGGGACACTTGCTCACCTAGCTCCAGATACTTGCTTACTCAGCTCCAAATGAGAAACACACACGAAAGAAGAATCAAAATCATTTGCGATTTATTCAGTCGATACTTCAGGAGGCTCTTTTGGCCTGTGCAGCAGTGAGATAAAAGACAAACTCAAGGAGCCGGCTCCCTGCGGCTAAGGCGTTCAGACAGGTCACGCGACTTCCTCAAAAGCTCAAAACGTGGGGGGACATGCAATGAGTTGTGGTCGCGCTTCATTCCAACAGCCCGGACATAGCCCGTTCTGAAGAGACATGCTAGCACCCAACCTAATAGAACCGGCATTCCGCAGTCCTCAGAAAGCAGCCTCGATTCACACAGTTTTAGGACATCTGAGACATCCCAAGTACAGATCGAAACACAGCTTTGTCGAAAGCGTTGCCTCGCCCACCTGCATCGAGTCTTGCATGCGGTCCACGTAGGCGTTCATGAGGGGGTCCATTGCGCCGCACTCCGCCAAGATCTCCGCCTTGGACTCTTCCACTCCTAGAGCTAGAAGCTGTTCTTGGTACCGTGCAATCCAGCCCATCACCTGCAAGGGCAGAAACGGAAAAATAATGCATCGGCTGACGTCAGCTGAGGCAGTTTGGGGCCAACGAGCAGACACTGCGTCCGTACATTCGCCTTGGGAACCGTTGACTGGCATTGCACCAGCTTCAGCATGTACGCCGAGAGCCTGCAGATCAGACGTCAAAAAGCAAAAACGCCGCGGACAAGTTGCCAGCCCGAATCTCTTTCGATTGGAAAAAGAATACGAGGGAGCACAGCAATCGGGTCAGCCACTCTGGCCAGGAAGGGGCACCGGCGCGAATCGGAAACGGCATGCTTGCGAGGAGGAATAGAGGGACGTCTGGAGCCCGCAGACTGGTCGTGAGCGAACCCGTTCTCAGTGCAGCTTCAGATTCAGGGGCTTAAACAGCGCTGAAAGAGGGCATCCCCCGAGGGGACTCCCCACTGGGTATACAAAGCACGCCTTAATACGAGCCGTCAGAAATGCTGCTCTGAAGCTCTACTGAGCACTGCCATTGCAGATTGCTGCTGTAAAAAGCGTGTCCTTCTGGAAAGAGTTGTTCTAGAGTAAATCAAGATTGTTGCGTTTGCTTTAACGACTGACTAAACTGGCCTTTCACAGACGTGGAACGGTGCCCTGGGCTTTTAAATAGATGTCAAGTAATCAGCTGTAGGAGGGTGTTCAGGGGAGTGCCTTGCAACTTTGACGTGATGGGACGTGAATTCTTACGCGGTGTCGGGTGCTGTATTGATGGCATTCTGCTCGCTTCTCACGACTGATAGCGACTAGCAGTCGCTTCTACAAGGTGGAGAGCCAGACTGAGGGATGTTTTCGAAGCAAATCCTGACGACGAGACGAGTGGAAAGAATGCTCCTTCCAAACGATGTGACATGTCATTGCACGAGAATCGATTGTGATCATGGACGCACCGCAGGTTCGACTTTGACGGGTGCAGGAAAGGTTGCTGGCGGTCAACTGACAAACAGACAGGTAGAGGGAAGGGTCTGCATTAAGATGTATTATGGAAGCTGCGAGGCTGTATAAGGATGTAAGGGGTGAGAAACTCTAAAAGCGAGGACGAATGACTTGGCGTGGAGACACTGAGGTAAAATTCCAGGATTGCGAACTCGATGAGAGTTACCTTGCAGACTAAACTTCCCCTGCAGAGATCAGGTGAGGAAGGGAATTAAAGAGACGCAGCTTGTACGCCCTGTTCCGGAACAACGGGAAACGTGCACATGGAGTGAATGGAACGGAACAACAGAAGGGTAGGCGCGGCGGTCCCACCTTGAGGATGTCGATGTTGGCGAGGTCCTGCGCCTTGTCCCCCAGTTTGCGCAGCATGGTGGACAAGTGCTGCGTGTACAGCTGGACCATGAAGACGAAGATCTCGTACCTGCGGCACGTCACGCCGACGTCAGCAGCGCAGATTTTCGGAACTGGGACCGTGTCGACGGTCACAGAAGAATGTACCGGCGGGAAGGCTAAGGAGCTCAGCAATGCTCTTTGTCCTTTTCATTGGCGGAAGTTGACAAGTGCTGCTCGCGCAATCTTGACAAGACGCCCATTGGATGGACACTCTGGAGAGAATCTTGACAAAAATCTCGTACTTGCGAGCAGCGCACTGCCGTCAGGAGCGCAAAGTGAACAATGCAATCTCTGTACGCTTAAACGTCATTCAAGCGCTCTGCTCTTTACAGTGCCAAAGTCCGCTTTTTCTGCAATCCACTTGTTGACTATGCGGAAAGATATCCCGAAAAGTGAACTGTGAAATTGGATGGGCCCAGATCGAAACAAAGAATACTTCAAGGGACGGATCGAACGTTCCCGCTGCAAATCTTGAGATAACAGTGCTTAACCTCAATAGCGTCTGAGGCCTCGCGAAAGCTAGCTTGTCCTAAACGAAACAGCAGAACGTCCCTGAGGACCTCAGAGCTAAGGCTTACTGGGGAGGAAAGCACGGAGCGACGTAGTCATAGATGTCGGGCAGCTCCGATGCAATCTGCACAACCAAAATAACCCCGTCACTTTCAAAGCGCACCATGCCAATCGCATCCTGTCGCGGCTATTTTGTACCGAACACCAACTCCGGCTACGGCACCTTCTCCTCTAACACCGTCAGTGATCTGGAAAGTCGATACGAAAAAGCTCAGAAGCTCCATGAGAAGTCCTCCCTCGGGGCCCGTGGTCCTTTTGCGCGTCTTAGAACGGGGGAACGATATCAATGAAAGTCTGGGAGTCGTTCTGAAATCTGGTTGAAGTTGTGCACTCACAGGCGCACTCTTAAAAGTCAGACCGCAGCTGCAAGCATGGATTGAGGCCGTGCGATGGCCATTCCTTCCGAGGACCAATTGAGCTGAAACGGATTTGCACCGCACTCGATGCCTTTCAAGAAACAGTTCACTATAGGGTACAGGTTGAGAAGCAGAGCACTTACGGCACTGGCCTCGTCCAACACCTTTTTCAGGTCCTCATGGATGAACTGCGCGCACGTACGAGAAGAAACTGTCAGCAGGTTGAGCTTTCAATTTGTCGCTTTTGAGAACTAGTCCCATCCTGGATCTCGCATCGTGCTGCCGGGCCCTTGATTCTCGTCTAAATTTCACCCCTTCCACTGTCGTTTCCCGCTTTACTTCCTTTTTGCTAGTCCATTCTTTGATTTTGTAGATCTCTGCACTTAATCTAAAACCGATAGCACCCTGGTCACGTGGGGTACCGAGCGAGCAGGACCGTGTCAAATCAAAACAGTCACGACACATTTCAAATGTGACATGTCAGCAAAGCTCTACGAGGCTGTTCAAAGAGCGGACTCTTAGCTGCAGTCATGATTCAGCCAAGCAGGAATAGCCAAAGCAACTTTGGCTTCAAGGTGCGACCCAAGCCCGCTCAGACTCTGCGGAAAAGAGCGTCGGCCAGGATTCAAATTCTTTTTCGTTTTTGCAGCTCACGTTATTTAGCAGGTCGTGGAAATGGTCCTCCACCCCCCGCTCTAGTTCGCTGAAGCAGCGCGTCTTGTAGTTGCGCGGCTGCTTGGGCGGCGCCGTCGTCCCAGGGGGATCCCCCCCAGCCGTGCTCGCCTTGTCGGCCTCGGCCGCCTCGCGCGCCGCCTCCGCATCAATCACCTCCTGCATCTCCACGATCTTGGCGCACCGCACCAGCGTCTGAGGACTGCAGGGACGAAGAGATCGGGATCATGCTGCCTGGAGTACAGACTGATCGTAGCGGCTTTTAAGATTCTAAGGTCTTATGATTTGGTGTGTATAGGGAGCAAGGATGGTTATGTGTCTTCACACGAGATTGACGCCCGCGCACCAGCGTTTGAGGACTGCAGGGACGGGGAGAACTCGTGAACACGTAGGTGCGAAAGATTGGATCGAAATTATCAACTTGCCGATCATCTGTCACCTAAACGGTTCCTTGGGCACACTGCAGCAGCGCCTGGGGCCTGCCAGGAGCAGGCAGAGATTCTAACCATGTTGTGGCGGACGGGTATCGCCTGAAACTTTGTCCTTGCACTTTATCTCGAATCGAACGTTCACCAACCCTTTCTGGATGCTGCAGATCAGGAAAGTTCAGACTGAATTCCCTCGCAGGCATGGCCGTTCCTTTCGTCCATCGTGGCTCCTCGAGGCAAATTGACAGAGTGTCCAATGCAAGCTGGCACCCCCTTCTTCAGACTGTGAGACCTCTCACTTCTTGCAAATTCTTCTCAGCACTTGTGACTGCAGAAACATGGAGCGGCGGGTGCAAGCACTGTAATCAACGTCGGCCAAACCCATGATTAGGCCTCACCTCTCCTGCGCCAGGTTGAAGAAGTCCCGGATGTGGCCCCACAGCGTCTCCTCGAACATCTCCCGTGTCTGGCTCACCTCCTCGAAGTACTCCCTGCGGGCATATGTAAGTGACGTCATTGAGATCGCTCGTTTGGTCAATCCTGCTGCGACCCGCTTTGGCGGTGCTCATCGAGCTGCAAGACTTGATCAAAATTTTGAAGATCCGTGTTTGATACATCTAAACGGGTTGTTCAATGACGAATAAACGCCAGACGGCCCAATCTAGTGGCGGGACTTGTCGGCCAGAATCAAGTGGAAATTGCTAGCGTCAACTCCCGAGTTTCGAGCCAGCAAATGGTGCAGCGACGGGAAGCATGCAATTGCCATGAAACAGTCGCCGCTGTATGACGTGAAGATGACGCAGGTGAAACCAGTCAATTGAAATGACGTAACGGGACAGCCCGTGGCGGGTTCTTGTGGCCGATTGCAGCGCATGAAAATGTATTGCGTAGAGCTGTACACAAACGGCCAGAATCTACAGGCAATGCATTCCCACGTCTGGGGGCGGAAAAGCATTGGGGCCGTGCGCGGGCACTCACGTGAGCCTGCTCGCCTCCGCTTTTCGGCTCCCGGTGGCTGCCAATGCGAACCTCCGCTTGCCCTCCAACACGTTCAACCGCTGCATGATGTAGGTTGGACGAGTCAGTCAGTCAGTCAGCGGGCTGGCTACTAAGATATAGAAAGGTGATACAAATTTGAATCGAGCGGCAAACACCTGAAACCAAGACGATTCCCCAAAGTTTTCCAGAATCGACCCCGTGTCTCCGCTGCATATCGACACTGCGTTCAAAATATGAAACCGTTGCCCAAAGCGAGCCTAAGAGAGAAGCAAGCCACAAGACGAAGCATGGCACGTCACTTTGTGACAAAGTTGCTTCAAGGCTCCTCGAAAACGGGCACCTTCACAAATTCAAAGAAAAAGGGGTGATCCGAACCGAAGCTCACCTCGAAGGTCCGGACGAGCTCTTTCTCGTTCGCCAGTGAAGCGCGAGCTGCGGCAGCCTCCTCCGATATTGACATCATGCCCTCAGCATCCTGGAAACCAAACAGTTCGTTCACGAACGGCCGTAGGCAACGTAAGATCCTCAGTCTCGCTGCCTTCCCTCTACAGATAGATCCGCTAAAAGCAACCTATTTGCTCGAAGCTATCCATTCACACCTGACCACAAGGTACTGAACAGCTGTTCGCCATTTGACACAAAACGAGGGAATGAGTTGGAGAGCGGCACTCCGCTCCGACAAGTGTCATACGGATACCAGATAATTGGAATAAGGCATCACAAGTCTTGACCTCCGGCCCACCTTGATGGCGGTGTTCAAGTTGTTGCGCGCATGGCTCAGGAGGTTGATCTGGTCGTGGTGGTCGATCAGGTTCTTACACTCAGTGCACAGCCTGCAAAAGCAATCGCCCATGTCCACTTTGGTCCTCATCTCTCTGCTTGACACCGCCTGTCCAAGCTGCCTTCATGAGCAAACAAGTGTCCTCAACGTGCCGCCTAGCAAGTCCTTCGTGTGGGGTAAGAAGCGCCCGGTTAGATCAAACGCAAGTGCCTCCAGTAGCAATGCTGCAACAGGATCCGACAGCGACAAAGCCCACTCACTTGTCAATGAGCATGAACGCATCTCGAAGCTCCCCAATGGTTGCTTGGGAGGCCGCCAACACGTCCATTCCAGCCTTTGCTTGCTCCACCTGGAAAGCCAAGACGGTGGCACCTTAGGCAGACTGGCAGCAAAGAAGGGAGGCCCAGCTTCTTGTGCAAACCCCATTAGACATTGAACGAAAGTATGCCGTGCATGTAAAAACCAAGTATGAAAACCAAGGGAGAATATGCCCCCAGCATGCAGGACTTTGCACTCACGATTGCTGAAACTTGAGGTGTGAGTTGGATAATTAGACATCTTCGAAAGCAGGCCTTGAATGGCAGAGCCCAGTCCAAATATCGATTGGCCCCAACGAGATCTTCATTGCACACGGGGGAAGGATACTTTGTCAGGGTGGTGCCCTCACCTGGGTCATCACGCTTGTACTCAACTGCGCGTCATTTGCCTGCAACATCAAACGAAAGATGCACTTAAAGCCGTCGACTCAGGAACTTCCTTGGCTTTGGCAGCGGCCCGGGCCACAGAGAAGGGACGACGTAGACCAGTTTTCCAGATCTACGCGCTATATTGTCCTTAACAGCAACCTGGATGATTGGCCCTCGCTGATCATGTGGCCAATACACTTGAGAAGAAGCATTTACCTGCTGCCTCTGTGCAAAGTCTGCCTTCAGCGCAGCAATGCTGGCGAGGTTTTCTGGAAGGGGCAGCAGCTTGGCCACCTCTTTCACGGCGGCCTCCTTCGCTTCAATCGCACTCAGCTCCGCCATCGCACCGCCTGCGCTTCTTCACTTCCTCAACTAAGACTGCCTTCTCTCTGGACAAGGTAAGAAGCACGCGGCATCATCTGGGCACGTTTGCACGTTGCACCTCCTGTCACCACTTCTGGCCCCCCTAAATTGTGACTCTTCAAGTTCTGCCCTGTGTGTACAAAATGAGAGCTGGCGCTGTTTTCCTAGTGCCCTGTTGATAAGCGTGGAAATGCCAGCTGGTTAATTGGTCGGCTGGCTGACACGGGCTTCTCACCGCAGAAGAGATCCGTTTCTCTGCACAATTTTACTTGCTTACTACACTTTTCTTGAGCCACCTTCCAAAATCAGGCGTTGATGCACGATTGAGGCGCTACTCCACTCTGATCAAGGACTCTTTCTTGTGCCACAAAGCCCTTCCGCCAATACAACCACATCAGAAAGCAGGTTGCCTGCAACTTGCCAATGCAACCGGCTCCTCCCTGGCTACAATCAGAGCAATCTAGCTCCTCCAGTGCCCACACAAAGCGCCTCCCAGCTGCTGCTTGCGGCTCTGTACACGCTCTGCTATGCTGACCAGTGTGCTGCTGTAATTCGTAGCGACGTACCGTACCGTAGCCTGCTTACGTCCCTGAAGTTGAAGGGGCTCCCTCTTTCAGTGAACAGGTTAAGTACAGAAACGTGGTCATGAACGTGGTGTCAAAAACACGAGATTCCAACAATGATCGCGCGATTGACACTGTAAGCTTTTGGCGTCAGTGATTTGCATGGTCACCGCCCGAAACCAAGTGATGGAGGAGGCGCTAGAGCTACCGGCCTCAGCATTGCTGCCATTGCTAGCGTTCCAGAAAACTCTGAAAAGGCAGGATAAGGGCGCCCTTCTTGAAGTCTGCGGGTACAACAACCTCCGCTGCCAGTTTCGAAACGACTGTCACTTGGCCACAATGGCGCAGGCTGCCGTAGCCAGGATCAGTGCAATCCCCGCATTTCATGGCACCACAAATGTGCGTCTCCGGACAGAGCGTCCCCCTACTACACCCTTCGTTCCATTGCAAGCTGCAAATACAAGTTGCATGGGTGCAGCACCTTGCAAAATTGTCACAGTCAACCAGGTTCCGAAGACTCTGAGGGTTGCACGTTGTGGCAAAGCGTTCTTGGGTGGTGAGCAGGAGCTGGGGCGGCAACAGAGACAGCGCCCCCGAGCCACGCGTAGACCCGGAGCGGTTGCGGCAGAGCTGGCCTCGCTCGCAGAGACCGAGGCGGTGCCAATAAAGACAGCCGACGGGAACTTGCAGAAGTTTCCAGCTGCACCAGGTATGATATTTGCACTCTGATTGCGTCAAACATGTTATAGAAAGTTGCAGCAGGTGAATGACGCTTGTAGCAAGCTGCAGTTTGATGCGCAGTTGGCTATCTGCGACGGAAAATGCTGTGGTCTTCGTCAAAGAAGAAGAATAAGCTGTCAAACTTGGCAGGCTCGTCAGAACCTTCGGGTCACATATTGCTCTTGGTAGTTGATACCTTACTATGCACTTCCTGCAGTGCTCATTGTGTGACGTCTGAAAGGGAAAATGCAGAGGAAAGAAAGGTTTCAGCCAGGTGCCTTGCCAATCTTGCTGATTACCCCGCTCTAAGACATTTCTGATGTGCTTGTGCCCCCTCCCCTCAGGCGTGTACGCGATCTACGACTCCAATCAAGACGTTCAATTCATTGGCCTGTCACGGAAAGTATCCGTCAGCTTAGAGGGGCATGCAGAAGACCTCCCGGAGCTGGTGTCCTCCGCCAAAGTCGCGGTGGTCCAGAACGTAGACCGGAGCGCACTCCAAGCGGCCTGGAAAGCGTGGGTCGAAGAGTACATTCAGCAGGCGGGCAAAGTGCCCCCCGGCAACGTAACCGGCAATGACACATGGACGAAGCGGAAAGCGAGGGGAGCGAAGCCGGAGATCAGGCTCACGCCCGGGGCGCACGTAAAGCTGACCGTGCCGTTGGAAGAGATCATAGACAAGGTGGTGAAGGACGTGCCGGTGGTGGCTTTCATCAAGGGGACGCGGACGGCGCCGCAGTGCGGGTTCTCGTACAGGGTGCTGACGTTGTTGAATGAGAGCAAGGTAGACTATGAGGTCGTGAATGTCTTGGACGAGGATCATAACCCGGGGCTAAGGGAGGCCATCAAGCAGTACAGCCAATGGCCGACCATCCCGCAGGTGTTTGTCAAGGGGGAGTTCATTGGGGGGGCGGACATTCTGGAGGAGATGGTGCAGAAGAATGAACTCAAGCCTCTCGTTAGCAAGTGAGGTGTTCTGCATCGGAAATGTACCGAGCTTTGAACTGCGCAAACAACTTGGCATGCAATAATTGATCCTTTTCTTCTTGTCTCGTATGGATTGACCATGACGATCAACCATATAAGAGCTATAGTTTCGCAGGAAAATGATGATTGCTTAGACTGTATCGATATCCATTGTGCAATCCGAAGGCCTGCCGGCCCTTCAGTGAGAGCAAGGAAGGCATATATGAAGATGGACTGGACTCAAAACCGTCTGCATTGGAAACGTCAGATGCCAACATGAAGCTATGGACCTAGCGACACAATGCAGAAAGAAGAACATGGCTGAGTAAAGTTAGCGGGGCTAGCTTATAGTGGCACAGATCGAAGGTGTGTCGATGGTCTCTTTTCGTACTCGTCGATGCTTCATGCAACCGAAACCCGGCCGATTCTAAGCCCTCATGCAGGTCTATGAGAAGCCTTACGATCGGCGCAATTAGGCCATGTGCAATAGAACCGGAACTTACTTAACTCTGAGTCAGATCGATGCATGTGGCACTCAATACAGTCTGGCGCAGTAAACATGAGCAATTGGAACGGCACCTTTTGCAGATTCCGCTGTACCGATCATGCATCCATGCAGGCCATCTATGAACACAAAACTTGTACACATATGTCCGACCGCTCGCAAACTGAACGTTCTGGCATGTGAAACATGTGTGACGTGCTAGTTGCGCGCTCAAGACATGTACTAATTCGCATGTTCTATGCTTGGCATTCATTGGGCACTAGTCCTCTGTCCGTTAACACATCCAGACGCGGAAGCCCGGCATGACACGGAATCAAACTCTTGATATGATACGGTCGTTCCAATCCTCGACAAGGAAGTCGACACAACAGACAATGATTCAAAAACGTCCAGTCTCTCATCGATATAGTAAATATGATGATCTCACATGCACTTTGCACACACACAAGAGTTGGAACATGTAATCAACCCCGGGACATGCACACCAGCTTGAGCATCAAAGGAATCTCCATATCAAGCTGGAAATCCGAGTGCAAACTCCGACATGAAATGTAAGCGTGCATATTGTGGCCGGGATCTGTGTCTCGAGTCTGTACTTAAGGTGAGAATGGCGTCAGATAAAGAGCCATGTTTGGCACGTACGTACTCGGCTTTTGAGCAGGGTGCCTATGTGCGTTGTATAAGTGCCACTGCTTTGCGCTATGCTTTGGGGATGCTGAGAGAGGCTGAGCATGCTGACCAGGCTGAGACGAACTTCCGGCTCTAAAGCCGTTCTGGTCCTTCAATAAGCGGGTAACAGGCGTTTAAGGTTTTGACAGAGGAGGACAATCTGTCCTCCAAAAACAGTGTATCATTATTCTTTAGACAGAAATTCCGGTGGAGCTCAAGACTCCCTCAGTTCTCTTGAACCTTCGCACGTGCTTGGCACTCCCGTTTGTGCCCAGCTTTCCAGTCCGCTAGCTGACATCCTTGACCGCAATATCGGGCGTTCTTACATTTGCCACACATCAGAAATGTCCCCTTCTGCTTCTCGACACGCGTAGTCGTCCACACTCTTGGACCCCTGAGACAACTTGTTCCAGGTGTCCCAATAGGACTGAATGGGGGTACGTAGACCATAGCCCCGAATCATAGTGTCCCTGAAAAACCGACGTGCATCGCCAACATAACCCCCTGCATTAGCAGCGTTCCCGGGATACGCTCCAGGGTGAGCTGCCTGCCATGCCTCCCACTGCGATATC